GTGTGTGTGTGTGTGTGTGTGTGTGTGTTTCTGGGGAGGTATGCTTTCCAGAAGGAAAAGGATACAAATGTCTCTAAGGAAGACAAAATAATATACATTTGCAGGAAAATGTAAGCAAATATTTCCTGCACATGTTTTGCAAGATCCTGGACTCAGAGGGAACTGCCATCCAACCTGGGCCCCGGATTCCAGGCAGCCTCTTGGGCAGGGAAAGGGCAGGGGCCTGGGACTGCTCCCAGCACAGGAAGGACGCTTGGTCAACCCCAGCACCCACAGTGTGGAAGTGAAGAAACAGTCAGAAGCCCAATAAATGGGAGGCGGTGGGGATCAGGAGAGGGTCAGACTGGAGAAAGGACTTACGTAGCCCTTGTTGGGGTGGAAGATCTTCTCGTGGCGGCAGAGAAACACATCACTGATGCGGCCAGAGCTCTTGAGAGTGTATGTTCGCGGAGCAAAGGAAAGGGTTAGCCTGTCATCTGAGCCTGTGAACTTCATCTGAGCCAGGTTATGAATGAAAAAATTGAGCTTTGTGGCTACACTGCCCAGGCTGGATTCAATCAACCTGCAGGAGGATGGGAAGAAAAAGATGTAACCAGAGACCCCACACCCACACGTCCTGGACAGAGCCATCTCAGGGAATATCCCCTGACACCTGAAACTAACACTCAGCTCAGCTCAGATCATTTTCACCGTGTAATATCCTCGCAGAGCACACGACAGCACAGAACTATCCGCATGCGATTTATTTCTGTGAATCCTGGGGTCTTTATCTCCCCTTACTGTCCCCTGAGCCCAATTCAGTTAAATCAAGGCAGGAAGGAATTAGAGATGCCACCATGGAGTCATCCTGTAAATGTCTAAAAACTGTTGTCAAATTGAATTTCAAGGTTCAGTACAATGGAACCTCCCCAAGCACAGCTCAATCTAGAGATTGTAGTTCAAAAGGAAAGGTTCTGTGTTAGACCCAACAGAGAAAATTTAGCTCGCTAAGTTCCAAAAAGAGTGCGTAATAAAATGGAGAATCACCTACATGGACAGAATTGTAGACGTTAGTACAAAGACACCTCCCTGTACCTCAAAATGTCAAAAACGGGAAACTGGAACCATGCAATTCCATGTTTTAAAGAGGAGGAAGGTTCTGATCCAGACAGCTGAAAACTATGACAAAATCCATATAATACATTGCTCCATAGACCAAGTTTTTGACTAGGAGCTGGTGAGAATGCAAGACAGAGATTACAATACCTCTGTACGTACAGGTGAGCACCCAAGCGCAGATGGAAAACTGAGTCTGAGAGAACTAAAATGACTTCCCCAAGTCAGAGGCAAAGCTGGGACAGTGGACCCAGGGTGTCAGCTGTAAGCTCTGCCGCCGGGGCTGAGCCCTTCCCGTTTTGCTGGCCCTGGTCCTCCCAATCAGACAGCCTGGAAATTAACTGCCCAGAGTGGGCAGCGCTGTCTTGCATGGAGAGTTTTACCTGGTGAAGTAGGTAGTGGCATTGGCCTCTGTGTCCTGAGGCCTCAGGGCATCATACACGTACTTGAGGTCATCCAGGTCTGAGAGCTCAGGGATCCCACAGGACAACATCTGGAAAAAGACCAAAGAAGAAGGGCGCCTGTAACAACTAGGAATTCTTGCTTCCTCCCCACCACAAGGCAAGGTTTTCTATAGCTAGGCCCCCTAACCCTTCTAGAGGGTGGTGGACAGACGCTGTGGGCAGTGGCTGGCAGGCCACCAGAACGGGGAGGGTTGGAGCAGGAAGTCAGGTACCCGCGTGGATACCACTGTGCTGGGGAATCTGGGCCCTGCCTTTATCTAGGGCTCAGAGAAGCAGATCTTCAGAAATCCTTTGAAGCAAGACAGGGGAGTCGTAAAGATGGTGGCCAGATGATAAAGAGGGGTTCAGAAAGGGATGGAGCTCCTCACCAGGCCCAGAAGGTTGAGGAAGAGGTGGGTGTGCTTGCGAATGAGGTTGTAGGCTTGGCAGCAAAGGTCAACAAAATCATGGAAGCGGCTGGAAGGCTTGTCGCCCCCGTTGATGACATACGCCATGTCCGAGGTGAAGACAAAGGGGGCACGGTCCCTGGGCCAAGGGAAACACACAGGTAGACAGTCAACACGAAGGAGGAAGCCCACCCCGTGGGTCGCAGCAGGGGACGTCCCCCTCATCCCTCAGCACCTGTGTGAACTCAGATAGATGGGGCGCTTCTAACATTCTTTTTCTACCTTAATCTCAAAAGATCCCCAGACACACCCTTCATTGGTTCCCTGACTGTGAGCTAGCGATATGGGCTTGCATTCCCTCTTTCTGGGGTTTGGGCTCATTTCCCTTTGCTCAGTCCTCAGCAGGGTGGGTGGAGAATGGCTGGTCCCCCCACCTTCTTCTGCAAGGCCCTGCACGGACTTGACCTCCTGCTCAGTCTCCTCTTCTCCAGAGCTGCTCCGAAGTGTGGCCCCTTCCACTGCGGGCTTGTGTTCCAGCTCCGAACCGTTTCTGCTGAACCCCCGCCCCAGGGGCACAACCTGGCTTCCGGAGACCACTTACCGCTTGATGTTGCCGAACATCTGGGCGTGGCCCAGGAAGCGGCCGAAATCGATGTGGAACATGTGGCCAGTCGTCTTCAGCATGATGTTGTCATTGTGTCGGTCACAGATGCCCAAGACATACGTGGCCACGCAGCAGCCAGCACAGGAATAGATGAAGTTCTCTACAGCCTGGGAGGAGGAAGACAGATGCGAGCAGAGGACATAAAGCTGGTGTGTGTAGGGGGGAGGGGTCCCCAGGGGCCACAGCCAGACTGAGTTCAGCCAGTCCTGGCCTTTCTCTCTCAGGAGCCCAACAGCACTCACACCTGCCTGTCCAGCCGTCATCACATCACATACTAACACACACACACTGATGCACATAGAAACTGCTCTTGTATCTTACGGGGTATAAGGAGATGGAAGGCTTGTATGTGTGTCTCCATCACCTTATCTGCAATCCACCTTCTTCTGAGCTTTTCTTTCTCCTTGGGAGATTGGTTGGAAAGATAGTGGACTTGAGCCCAGACCTGACCAGCCCGGAATGAAGAGTCCCAATTAACAGACAGGAAGCGTGATGTTTACAACTTTCCCAATTGGTCATGGTGATCTTAACTCAAGCTCAGCACTGAGGCAGCCGACTTAAGGGTCCCTTCCCGACCCTGCTCAGAATTCTTCTGCCCTTCTCTCTGCCCCCAACACAACTCCCATTTCCAGTGTTCTTGGTAACAGCTAAATGCTAATCTAATTAAAATCTCTTCACACCGAGGAAGAGCTGAGGCAGCTTAACACTTCTAGGGGGGTGTTCTACACTTGAAAATCAGACACATCTCTAGTCAGTAAAATGTGTTAGAGACATTTTCAAGTCTAAAGAAGGAGGGGAGGGAGTACGTGTTGGATCCACCTTATGTTATGTGGTCAATATCTGCCCCCTTATCTGTCTTTCCAGTAAAAATATATGGACGCCTTTCATCCTCTAAATCCTCTCTGTGAGGTTTACAGAATTCCCAAGAACTTAAGAAGACTCAACAGCAGAGGGCAACAGTGGTCACAGCCACGTAGGAACGTACAAAGCTGGGAATGAGGAAGGCTTCCCAGATGGAGAATGCACGCCCCTCCTGCCTCCCTCTGCAAATTTCCACCCAGCCTTCGAGGACCTTCCCTGAGTCCCACACCTTTCCCAGAGCTTCCCAGCTCACACTGACTCCTCCCACACGGAGCTTTACAGGCACCACCATTCACTCAGTGCTCACTGAGGCTTCTCACTTTCCCAGAGTCCAGGGACCTTATCTCCCTGTAGCTTCTTGTCTGTCGGGCAGGCTTACTTCAAAACTAGCTACACATGGGGTAGAGAGGATTTTAGCTCAAGTGGTAGAGCACACGGGGTTCAACCCCCAGTACCTCCTCTAAAAATAACGAAATAAATAAACTTAATTACCTCCCCCTACAAAAAGGGAGGGAAAAACTAGCTGCACACAGAAATCCCCCAGATTTCCCAGCTCCTTCTTAGATTAAACTAGATGACTAATCCCTAGAAAGTTGAGAATGGAACGTTTGTAAGGAAATCACAGAATGTACCTTCTGGGAGAAAAAGACTATTTGCATGACAGGGAAATAGACGATGAAGAGAACCCACTCAGCCAGGAGTACGACCCACCGGCTCCCAGCCCCGACCATCTCCATCAGCCTGTCTTCCTGCCGCAGACAGTCTTTCTACCTGAAACGCATCCTACTGACACACAAAGCAGCTGTGTGCGTACCTGTACTGTCACAGAATAAGTGGCTGAGGTCTGTCACCTAAGTGATGCGGGGTGTTAGCTGCTTACTGGCCCGAAGTCTCGCAGCTCAGAGGGAGCTCTCCTGACTCAAGGGGTTCCACTTGTAGGACAAGAGTGCTCTTTGCTGAGCAGGTGGCCCAGACGCAAATATCTCTAGCTCTTTCCTCCTTAGTCATCATAAGAAACTACCTGCATATTCGAGCAGAAAGGCTAGAAAAGCTGGGAGCTACCTTCAAAAGGCTGATGTTAAACCTCGGGACACAGAATTGGCTTCTCTGTGTGTGTATTCTTGCACATTTTCCTGTAATATCTATTATGATTCTTTATTATATTGACAAAGAGTAATCCTAATTCCGGTACCAAGACCAGGGTCTCTGTAGGGTGGCTGTTCACTATCTGAAAAATACACATTAGTATAAATAGGATACGGGGTAGGGGAGGCTGTGAGCGATCACTGTCACTCCTTTCCAAGGGCAGAAGACCTTCAAATGTGTAACATAGAGGAGGTGGGTTTTGAAGGATGGGGAAGGGAAGAAAGGACTTTCCAGGAAAGGGGAGTACTGTTGTCTAAAGGTGTGGAGTAAATGCAAGGCGCTCCCTGAGCTGGGGCGTAAGTATCACAAGCTGGGGAGGTGCCTGGGATGAGACCACAGAGGGTTTGTGTGCAGCGTAGTGGGTGTCGGGCTCATCTTTTAGGACAGAGGGAGCCTTTGAAGAATTGAGAGCAAAGGAATGCCATGAGTGGTCTGCACTTTATTTTAAAAGACTCTGAAATCAAGCAGAGGATGGTAAGGGAAGGAGAGGCATTCCAGTGGTTCAGACTGGGACAGAGCGCAAGCGGCTGAAAGAAATGGTAAGAAGAGGCCAGTCTCAAGAGCTATGTGGGGAACAGAATCAGCAGGGCTGGGACAGCAGAGGTGAGGCAGAAGGAAACATCAAGAAGACTCGTGGCTCTGTCCCGGGTGATCGAGAGAGTCACACCACTCGCAGACAGGGAACACAGCAAAAGCCGGTTTCAAGAGGGGAGGGAGACACAGAAAGCTTGGTTCTGCTGATACTGGGTTTGAGGTACAGGTGAAACACACAAGCAGAGAGGTCCAGCCATCAGGTGGCGATGGAGGATGCAGCTGGAGGGGGGAAAGAGGCAAGTGGGTGGTGCAGTAATAAGAGAGGACCAGCTGGCACAAGAAGAGCACAAAGGGCCAGGAATTAAACCCTGTGGAACGCAGACATTTATGGCCGCGGAAGATCCTCTAAACAACATTCTGATTATACTTTATTTTTATTTTATTTATTTTTTGAAGGGGAGAGTTAATTAGGTTTACTTATTGATTTACTTACTTTTTTAATGGAGGTACTGGGGATTGACCCCAGGACCTTGTGCGTGCTAAGCACATGCTCTACCACTGAGCTACACCCTCCCAACATTCTGATTATAATTGAGCAGTTCACCTAGGTTCTCCCTCAGGGATAAAAGGCATTGGTCAGTGTAAGTTAGTGTACGGATCCCCTTAGGGGTTAAATTCCATAAATTAGCATTCTGGCTTATGCTCATTCTCTTAGGAGCTGGGTTACTGTGATTTACTCTCTTCCCTAAACTTCATCAACCCAGAGACAAGAGCCGTGAAGTTGCGGCCCCGCCACAGAACACAGCGGGCCAGCAAGGCCCGCCCACCCAGCAAAGCTCCACCAGAGGAAAAAGGTCAGCTACCTTTTCTTTTTGCTGTTGTTGCTTTTTTTTTTTTAATAGAGTTATAGTCAGTTCACAATGTTGTGTCAGTTTCTGGTGTACAGCACAATGCTTCAGTCATACATGAACATACATGTATTCATTTTCATATTCTTTTTCACCATGAGCTACTATAAGATCTTGAATATATTTCCCTGTGCCACACAGTATAAACTTGTTTATCTATTTTATACATACCTGGCAGTATCTGCAAATCTCGAACTCCCAGTTTATCCCTTCCCACCCCTCTCCCATCAGCTACCTGTTCTATCAGCTCTGTCTCACACCTGTCCTCAGTCCTGGCTTCTGGTTACAAGCTTGCCACAAACTGGCTCCATAACGAGGGACAACTGAGTGAATCTTAATTCACATCATGAAAAGAGGAGATGGATTAAAAAGATCTCTGAAGTCTCTCCGGTGGTGATGGGTACAGCTCAGTGGTAGAGTGTGTGCCTAGCATGCACAAGATCCTGGGTTCCATCCCCATTTTAAATAAATAAACCCCTCTCCCTGACAACACACACACAAAAGTATAGTTTAAAACAGTAGTCTGTTCCAACCTCTATAAAGTATCATGGGAGCCCTCTGAGGGCACAGGAGGACCTGAGCAGGACCCATGACTAAGAGGGCTACAGGCAGGTTCTCCCAAGTTGGCCCCTGTCCTCCAAACTCAAGCTGCCAGAGGAATTCAATGAAGGCTTCCCAGCTGGTAGCAGGGATCTGGTACCAGGATACGTTCTCGCTCAGCTTACAGCAGTCATCTGACCCACCCCTAGACATCTGGGGGCAACAGTCAACCAAGAATGAGTGTTTCTTTCCTCCGGACACAGCTGAGCTGTATTCTGGGAACACAGCAATGCACCAGAGTCAGGCACATCCCACCCCAGCTTCGCCCTCAACCCTTCAATCCTACCTTCTCGTACTCGTCCTCCCCAGGGTTGTGTTTCTGCAGCCAGTCGGCGAGAGGCCGGTCCTTGAAGGAGCCGGTCACCCCATGCTCCACCTGGATCTTGCGCAAGGTCTCGGAGTTGGGGATCATCTCCACCATCCCTGTGGCGGGGGGGCATCGGGGTCACCCTCCAGAGCAGAGAGAAGGGCTCCGTCAGGAGAGGGCTACAGAGCTTTGCTGGATGCTTCCCTATAAATTAAGCTCTAGGGCGTTTGGACAAAGTCTGATGATACGGGAAAAGGATAATGGTGGAAAGGACGGTCGTTCCCCAGGTTTCATATTCCATACTGTACCCTTTGGTCTCCCCAGTTCACAGCCACCATCCTTTTTGTTTAACCTTTTACTATGGGATTTTCAAATACACATAAGAATAAAGAAATGGTATCATGAACTCACACATCACCACCACTCAGTCTCAAAAGTTATCAACACTTTGCTATCTGGTCTCATCTATTTCACTCACCGAATCCTACTTCCTGCCCACCCCTCTGGAGTATTTTTAAGTAAATCCCATACATGTCATTTTACTCATGAGTATTTCAAGTGTAACTAATAAGGACATAACCACCCTGCCATTATCACATCCGAAAATTTAACATTCTTTAATCTAACCTGATCTAACCCAGTCTGCATGCAAATTTCCCAATTGTCTCAAAAAAAACTTTGGGTTTTTTTTTTAATGATTTTCTTTTTTTTCCCCCTTCAAAAATATCTTTTTACAGTTGGTTTGTTTAAATCTGGACCCAGAGTCTACACAATATGCTTAGTTGTTATGTCTCCAAGTTTGCATTATTTTATAACAGTCTCTCCCCCCTACCTTCTGTTTTTATGCCATTCCACAGCTTCGAGTGAAACTGTCCCGCCCTCTTCATTTTTCCAGAGAAGCACACAGCTCACATTGGGGAATGGGCAGAGAGGAGGTGAGCAAGGGTGCCCCCTGACGCCAGCTGCCCACTCACAGCCCTACCCACGCCCGACTGACCTCTCCCCCGGCCAGTGGAGAAGCAGCGGAAAATGACCATGCGCATGTCCAGCCCCTCCTGGACCCAGATCTTGCTCATGATGCGAATCATCTGCAGGGTTAGCATGTCCTGGCGAAGGTCATCCCCACACTGGATGGAGAAGGACAGTGATCGGAACTGTCTCCACTGCCTCCCCCAGCTCCCAGGTCCCCCAGGAGGGCAACCCGGGCCCGCACTACAGTGACAGGGGACTGCCCAGTTTTCCCAGCTGACGCCAGGTCAAACAACCAGGGGTCAGCCAGCAACCACACTGTCCCCATGCGGTGTTCCGGCTTTTCCCCCAACCCCACATCCCCATCTGAACTGAAGCCAAGTTCCTCGTCTTCATGCAGCCCTCCTGACCATCAAAGCCTTTTTTAAACTTGAACGTTTACACTTACAACAAATATATGTTACTAAGTCACATACATGCCTTTCATTTCCCCCACTAGGTTACATGCTCTGAGACTACACTCACTCCTCAGAATCATGGACGTTATCAGTTAGGAGGACTTCAAGGTTCATCTAAAGCCAACCTGCGCTTGAACCTGATATGTGAATTTCCTCTCCAGCAGGCCTGGCACACGGTCATTCAGCTTCTGCTTGAATATCCCCAGGACAAGCAAGTCAGCACCTCCTCCATGCTAATAAATCGGGGTAGCTCCGCTCTCTAGAAGGCACCACTGTACACTGAGCCGTCAGCTGTCTCCCTACACGTCCCAGCACTGTTCCTAGCCCTCTGGGGCCACTGGAATTAATCTATTTCCCTTTCCACCTGGTAAGTCTTTCCGACACTAAAACGGCAGCATGGAATGGCGGGGAGAGAACTGCCCTGGGGCCGCTGTTGCCACCCGTGGGTTCCCTCCTTTCCTCCTCTCTGCCAGCGACATCCCACCAGCCTGGGAGAAGTGTCCTCACCTTGAAGATGACACGGATGTTCTCGCCCAGCGGATCCACGTTCTGGAAGGAGAGCTTGAGGGGGACTGCGTTGGAGTTGAAGTAGGAGCAGTCCTGCCACAGTAGAGGGGTAGTGACCAGGGTCAGGGTGGCCCATGCCCAGGAAGGAGAATGGCCCCTCCACCTCCCCACCGGCTGCTGCAGGTCCACCTACCCACTGTTTCTTCCAGGCTTCTTATGAGCCCACGTTCCTTCCTTCCCTCCCTCCTGTCAAAATCCTGATTCATTCTGCCCTTGGCGTCTCACAGTCGTTTACCCCTTCAGTTCATTCTGCACACAACTTACTAGTGTGACTTCTGGCAAGTCACATGTCCCATCTCTATAGTTCACTTCTCTGTAAAATGGGGCTCACAACAGTACCGACTTCATAAGAGTTGTGAGGATGAGAGGCAATAACTGATGGAAAGCACTTAGAACAGTGCCGGACACAGAGAGTGCTGGACAAATGACAGGTGAGGGCATCACCAGCCCGGGCGCCAACCCCAACATCACCAGTAGAGCCACCTCCCCAGTCCCCAACCTCATTCCTCTGCATGGCCATCAGACCAAAGTCCAGACACATTAGCGGTAGGGAGATGCCCCACATAAGCCTCTCTTCCTCATCTCTCCCAAGAAACTGGTCAGTGAGGACCTCACTTCCACTGAGCCCTCCCCACTCCAAGAGCCCCAAACCCACCAGCCACTCACCCTGGACACGATGCCCTTAACCAGCAGACTGGGGCTGAGCGGCAGGCGGCAGGAACCATTGAGGGCAAAGAACTGCCCCACCTCCTCCAGGCCCGTGCGGAGGATGCCCTGGGGAGGGGGTAAGGAGAGCGTGGGCGAGGTAAGGGGCCCACAAGCTCCACTCAGGGCCAGGCCTCTCCCCGGAGTGGCTGCTATGGAAACAACCAGCAGGGAGGGGTGGACAACCACCGGGAGACCATGAAGAAGGAACCACCCCACCCACACCCCAGCCGGGGGCAGTGCATGGGCAGCAGCCCAAAGAGACTGGGCGGAGGACAGAACAGCTTCAAGCAGACCTCGGTGAACTGAGAGCAGGCTGCAGGTCAAGGAGGAGATGCTGCTCTGGCTGATGCCAAAAAAAGCGAATAATCAAGACTTTGCAGTCTCCCAATTTTTAAATCTTAGCAACCAGGATCACCACTGGCCCCGTGCAAACAGATAAAGGTGCCCCCTCTGGGTGGCAGCAGCCCTGAGCTGTGGCTCACAGCACAGTGAGCGGAGTATGATTGGATTTCAGCCCTCGCTTTGCCCCCTCTGGCTGGGTGCTCTTGTGTAGTAAACAACTCGTACAACTGTGCTTCGTCTTTAAGGTAAACAGTTAAATAAAAATGTTAAATAAAAATGTTAATACTTTGCAGGCCAAATAAAACACATCCATAGCTGCATCCAGCTTGCAGACTGTCAGTTGGTAGCCTGTAGAGTAGAGAGTCACCTCTTTCCAGCCCCTTATTCAGATGTGGTCAAGTGCCATCACCGATGGTCAGGATGCCTGAGAAGTTAATGATTGGCTGCAGAAGCCCAGAACCGGAAACGGGTAGAGGCAGCCTCAGCCCACTCACCTGCCGTGCAGACGGGGCAGCCTCCCGGACCTGCTGGGCCAGCCTGGCCAGGGTATTGACAAGCCAGCACTGGCGGTTAAACTCCTCTCTCAGGCCCTTGCCACAGCAGCACAACAAGGCAGCCAGCAGGTACTGGTAGCGGATGCTGAACTGAGAATCCTTGAGGCCATCTTTCAGCAACCTATGAGGCAAAGGGAGGGGGAGTCAGGGCACTCAAGGGATTGCAGGCAAGGGAGAGGCTTAGCGGTCAGATCCAGCCCCAACTCCCTGGAAAACCCATCCCCAACTTGGGAGGGAAAACAGACTCTGGAAAAAAACTTATATAGAAGTGTTCACCCATATCCCAGTCTGCCCACGCTGTCTTTAAGTAGAGCTCAAAGCCCTTCTGCATCTGGTTTCTCCTTGATATTTCTGCCGTGTGTGGGTAGAGGGGAGGGCCAGGGAATGACCCTCACTGTGCTACACGGGCGTGCACCGAGGCCCCTGGAGGAAAAGGTGCCGGCCCAAGGCCACGTGGAAGGTCAGCAGCACGCTGGAACCCAGAGGGCTCAGCTTCCCACCCTTGCAGGCTTAGGAGTAAAATCCTCCTGAGTGGAGGACACATGGCTCCCTCCCCCGTCTCTGTGCACAGTTTTACCAGAAGAAGTAGTGAGTCACTCTCAAGTCGGAGACAGCTCGTTTCAGGAGGAAGCGCACCAAGGGGCTGTCCAGGTAGCACTCGTACTTTAAGGCCTGTGGGGGAGACAGGGGACAGGAGGCTTTGTTGATGACCCGTATCTACACCTCCCGCAATCCCTGCCCTGGACTGTAAGGGGCAGGATGCAGTGTGACTTGGGTCCATCAGAACTGGGAGGGCGGCCAGCCCTGCACCCACCTGTACCAGCTGGGGCAAGTAGTCGAGCAGCTCAGCGTCGGAGAGGGAGCCGATCCACTGGACAGCCATTCGACGCACCTCCTGGTCCGGGAAGCTGCAAAGCAGAGCCCAGCACTCTGACAATCCGGCCGCAGGGACTGAGGCACAGACGTGAGCAAGCACCCCCACACCCGGGCTTCAGAGTCATGGATGGAGGAAACACAATGACTCCCGAATCTGCCAAGGCCACTAGAAGAGTCCTGAGCACCTTTTCTGGATTGTAACCCTTGAGAATGGCCTTGGCCCATGTTCAGAGTCAGCCTGGGGCCATGCAAGCCACTCATTCCCTGTTTGAGTTAAAGAAAATGGAACAAAGCCCTCAGCCCCACTCCCAAAGATCTCTTCCTTGACTCCCACTGTGCCAGAAATTCCCACCATCAAAGAGCCCTCATTGGGTCAAAGCAGCTTCGTGTCTTGGTACCATGCTTTAATGCAAAGCTTGCCAGACAAATAACAGAGAATCACGGAATTACAGATAAGCCAATGCACCTCAGAAGAATTAGTTTAGCAGAGATTACAAAAGCTGTTGCCTCAAAAAGTCCTGAAAGTAAGACACATAGATCAGGTACATTTTAATGACTAAGAGTGGTAGAAAATAAGCCAAGAACGCTGGGCACCATCCAGGGGTCTGGGGCTGGGAGCCTGTGCCCCCAGAGGAAGCGGGGAAGAGAAGACTGCAGCCGCAGGGCTAAGTGGGACGGTTCGGGTTACACAGGTGGGTTCATTTGTCAGGTTGCAGCAAACGTACAGGCAAGGCTTGGGCACTTCCTTATATGTAAATTTTGCCTCAAAAGAAAAAAAAATGTAAAGAAACGTTGAGCTCTAGTTAATGACACGCATGATAAAGTATTTAGGAAGGAGTTATGTGACACCTCTATTGGCTTCAAAATGCAGGGGGAAAAGATGTATTGATGGATGGTACACACAGAATAAAGCAAATACAGAAAATGCTAATGGTTAGAATCTAGGTGGTGGGAATACGGATGGATGTTCACTATTACATTTTCAGTTTTGTTGTATGTTTGGAAAATGTTCATAAAATAACATGGGGTAGGAGTGGAATAAGATAAAGAAAACTTGAAAAAGGAGAAGTGGAAAAGCCCTGAATTCCCACGCTCATTTGATCATTCTCCCCAGGGCTGGCTCAGGTCAGTGATGGGCAGTGCCAAGCTCTGGCTTCAGGGAGGACACGTGGTCAGGAAAGGCGGGTGTCACAACTCACGTGGCATGCAGGAGCCCCAGGGCATCCTGGTGGTTCATGGGGGTCCACTGCTTCAGGAGAGCATAGATGTCCGGCAGGCAAGCCCACTCCCAGCTGGGGGCGCTGGCGAGCACCAGGGGGAGTGAGCTCACCTCTGAGTGGCAATAGTATCGCTTCTCCCACAGGCGCTTTCTGTCGGCATCAGTGAGCCTGGGGGTGGGAGTGGTAGAAGGAGGGAAGAGAGAACAGAGTCAGACAGAGGGTATGTACTTACTCTCCGAGAGAATGCTCCCCACTCCAGTTCTGTGGTTCCCAAACTTGGCAGCAATTACAGTCAACTGAGGAGATCTGTAAAATCTCTTGTCCAGGCTGCACCCAGAACCAAGGTGGTCAGAATGTCTGGGGAAGCCAGCCATTGGCATCTTTAAAAGATCCGTAAGTGACAACAATGTGTGAAGCAAGGTTTGGGAACCAGGGTCCAAATCTACCTTTGATTCTGATTCCGGGACATTTCAGATTTGCTACCCCTCCTGAGGATGCCCTTAGGGTACCACTTCCAAGTAGAGCCACCAGAGGGCAGTGGTCCCCACGTCAGGATCTGGGCGGCTGCGAGGCCTCCTGGGGCTTCCTGGGGCCAGCTGGAGGTTTTACCCGGCCTGCAGCTAATTGGGCCTTGCCTGAGATCAGGTGTCTAATGGGAGAAGGGAGCCGAGGGGGCTAATAAAGCAAGGGGTCAGCAGAGGAGTGGGGGCAGGGGAGGCCTGCAGACACGCAGCTGTATCTGCTGCCCTGGGCGGAACACGAGGGAGAGAGATGAGCCATCTCTCTCACTTCCCCCCTTCTGCTGCATGCACGGGGCCATGCAGGAGCCAGAGAGGTACCAGAGAGCAGGAAGGGGGAAGCCCAGATCCCCCCAGCTCCTCCGGCTTCTCAATCCTGGTGACAGAAGCAGCCCCAAGGATGAGATCAGCTTGGACTCGCTTACCCCTGACAGCTGCCAGCTTGCCTTGACACCTGATCCTTTTTGGAAAGTGACAGGGCCAGAGAAATGCAAAGGCTGTGGGTGTGGAAGGGGCAGGAGGTAGGGGCAGGGTGGTAAGGACAGTGGACAGCAAATAGTAGACAGCTTATCTGGGGTGTAGGGCAAAGCTCTGGGCCTCTCAGCAAGCTGAGTGTGGTCCAAGTCCCCACTGTGGGGAGGGGCATTCCCAGATCTAACATCTCACCCTGACCTCTCCTCTTTGCCTACAGTCAGTGCACAAAAGGTCTGGGGGCTGCCCCCAGCAGAGCCCTCTCTCCACCACTCCCTGCCTAGGCGGCCGCGCCCATCCCATCCCACCTCGACTCCCAAAGCAGGAGGACAGGGACCTGCCGGGAGCTAAGAGAGGTCAGCTAGAACCCGAGAGCTTTAGCGGGGGCCTGAGCCACACAGCGGGGATGCCCTGGGCCTCACCAGTACAGGGACTCCTTCTGCATGATGTTTTTAAGCACGTGTTGGTCTTCCTCCCGAAGGCTGCCAAACTCATAGCGGGGGCTGAACTTGTCTCCAGCGGGGCTGGTGAACTTGATGTCGAAGGCCGAGGTGGGGAAGTCGATCTGGGAGACATCAGAGAAGGGAAGAGAAAAGACTGCCACCTGCCTGGGCCTCCAACTTCTCTCTTCCCCGCCGCCATTCCTGCCTTCCTCCCTCCCTCCCTGACCCTTTGTCTATAAACTAACCCTATTTGACTTGGTGATCACTAACATCCCTTCCAGCTGTAACTTCCAGCAAAACACAAGAAGGAAAAAGAGAGAAAGGAAAACGGTCAAGTGAGGACGAGGCTGGGCTGAGATGCATCTAGGTGAGGCCCAGAACAACACTGAACAGAAGCCTCATTAGCCTGAGCCACTGGGAGCCTCCAGCCAAAGCTGGGGAGCCTTCAGTGTGGTCCCGGGGGCCACATGCCAGCTGAGGGCCCTGCCAACTCTGAAGCCTGCAACGCTGGGTCCCCTTGCTATGTTGCCATGTTCATTCTCCTTAAATAGATGTCAGGGCTCAGCTCCCAAAGGGAAATCCATCTTCCCTCATTCAACAAATGTTTATTGAGCCCTAATATGGGCCAAACATTGTTCCTGGCCTGGGCACGGAGTAGTTAACAAGACAGGTAAAAACGCCTGCCTCTCGGAGTTTCCATTCTGTGTCATTCTGCATCCCCTTTGATATTCCATATCTCACACCAGAGCATCTCATGACCACAAGAAAGGGGAGCCAGAAACCGGTAACTAGACCTTGAACCTGACCTGCTCAGTCTCCTCTCCGCAGAGAATGGGACCACCCCAGAAAAGCACTGAGTGGCTGTGGGGAGGGCTTCCCCTTGGGCCCCAAGAGAGGACGGCTCAGATTAGTAATATAAGGGTTCAGTACAAGGGGCTCTGAGGAGCTGAGCCCTGGATGGAGAGGGTCTCAGACCCTGCCCTCAGGCTCCTTGAAGAAATCAGTTAACCCCCAGGAGATGGGACATAGATTCGACAGAACTTACCCCCCAGCTCCAGGTCTAAACGTACTCGCCCAGCTGCTTCAGCTACATCGTCCCCCACCCAAGGTTCCGCACTTCCTCCTGCTGTCCCAGCCCAAACCTCAAGGGGAAAACTTGGAGCCAACTCTGGAGTGGTCCTGATGGGGGTGTGCTGGGGCCTCACCTGCAAGATGACACTATCCGGCTGATGGAAGTTAGGAGCGCTCCAGCGGGCACTAGGGTTTTCCTGGGTTGCTGGCCATAAGCCCAGAAGCTTCCGGCCACAGGTCAGGACTCTGAGGAGGATAAGAGGTGGAGTGAGCCAACAGACCCAGCAGCTCAGGAGATGGCTTTCCTCCTGCTCCCCCTCCCAAAACCCTGCCTTTCCTACATGAAACCACCACCCAATTCCTGTCTCTCTTATTCTCTCCGCAGACATTGCCTTTTCCTTCTTCCAGGTCCTATGCCAGCCCACCTGCTCCAGGAAGCCTCTCTAAGCTAACCACAGCCCAGTCTGGGCGACCTGGTGGCCGGGATGCCTTCATGAGGTGGTGAGCTGGACCAGATGACCTGCAAGGTCATCCCAATGACAAGATTAGATGGCATTACCCAAGCACTGTATTTCCATGCCCCTCCCCACCCATCCCGTGCCACCAGTCCTGTCCAGTAGTTCGCAGTTACATCAACTGTCCTGGTCACCAGTCCTGGTCTTGATCTCGCTCCCCCAGGGCTGGGGCCCTCTGTATGCTGTCAGTGAGCCCCACCCAGCCAACCCTCCCAAGGGACCCTGGCCTGTACAGCAGCCAGGCCCCTCTCTCTAGTCCCACCTCCCTCCCGAGGCCAAGAAGAGGCTGCCCTGGGGCCCACATACTGCCTGAAGTTGAAGAGCGGGGTAGTGACCCAGCCCAGGGCTTCGGGCACCCGCCGCTGCTTATTGGCCTCCGAGGAGCTCCCGGGTGGGGGGATGGGGACAGCATGGAGAGTGACACACAGCAGCGTCTCCCGAGGCAGTCGGTTCACCTGCACGGGGAAGCAGATCCTAGAGAGGACAGGAAACCCAATCAGGAAGTGCCACCCCTGTGGCCTCAAGGGGCATGTGGCCCAGAAAGTCAAGCTGAGAACGCGGCTCCCTGGCATGCTCCCTGGGTAAGTCTTCCTGCAGAACCAGGACAGATCCCAAGCTGCAGGCAAAACTTCCACTGGACGCCCCCAGGAGCTCAGTCTAAGTGTTCCTGCAGCCTCTCGGTGGAGTGAGGCAAATGTCCGTTGATCTGGGGGCTAGCCACGGTGACCAGAGCCATCTCAGAGTTCAGGTGACCACCTGTCCCACAGTCAGTGATACTCCTTCCCTTATTTAAAGATTTCTGCAGAGGGTCACCTTTTGACAGTCCTTCTCCACTGAATAATCTCTATGCCTCCCCCACCTCCTGCTGCCCAGAGCAACCAGGAAGCAGCCGCAGGTCCCTGCCGTCGGCTCCCCTCCCCCACAGCCTTCCCACCTGTCTGTCCTCTCCCGTCCCCTTCTTCCCCTAACCCACAGGACGTAAGAGAGCTTGCTCTCACCCAGAAACGGTTTTCCAAGCCAAAGGGATAAAGAAAGGGGACTCCTCCAAGTCCCCGGGGGGTGAGAAAGCAAACTGGCAGGGCCCAAAGACCTGAGATACAGACGCCCTCGCCAGCACCCAAGCCCAGACGGCCTCTCCCAGGCTCCCACGCTGAATCACACCCGGCCACTCCCTCCACGTCCAGGATAAGGAGTCCAGGGTGGGGTGAGGGGGAAGGGAGGGGAGCTGGGGAAAGCAGGGAGGACCGACATTACCTTTCGGGGAAGCTGTCCCTGGGCCAACGTCCATACTGTCACACCCTTCTGGCCAGCCCAGGGCCCAGCAGCTTCTACGCCAGAGGGCACAGAGGCAGGGCGGCCTCCCTCGAGGTTAGCAGTTCCATGATCAAGCAGCCTCCCTCCACCGCTGCCCCGCACTCCTCCAGAGGAACCTCCGTCTAAGTGAGGTGCTCCCTCCTTCCCGCCAGAGACTGGCAGAGCCCCGCTCTGTCCCAGCTGCCTCTACCCTGGGGGCCCACAGCTAAAATTAGGACCCCTCCAGCCGCCAGCAGACATGCCAGGCCAGGGCTTGGCTAGGGTGCAGAGCGCGGCTCCCGGGCCTATTTTGAGAGTTAGCTGATCCCCGTACTGGTGCAGAGGGGAGAAGGTCAGCTGACCCCATGGCAAAGAGGGGAGGGAGCTGGTCCTGATCCCTTTCCTTTCACCCAAGAAGAGGCTTCCAGCTCCACATCCAGAGGAAAAGGAGAGTGAAACTTTCTAACTGAAACCACAACACCTAAATCCAGCCAAGGGCCCCTTCTCCTCAGCCCTTGAGTCTATCTGGTATTTGGAAGCCTCCCCCACGGACCTTCACCTGGGGTCAGTTAGGAAAACCCGTCGGTTAGCTGTAGCCCTGAACCTCTGCCCTGCCCAAGAGACCCCTTTCCTCCCTTCTGCACCCCACTCCTCAACAGCACATCACAGGGGCTGACTCCTCCAGGCAGGGTTCCTGGGATGTGCCGGTTGCAGTTCTGGTTCTGCCACTCACAACCTCTGCATCAGTGAAAAGGGGAACAGAGCTTCACTTGTGTGATGTCTGTATACGTTGTCCGTGTGCTTTCTGCTATGTGACACTGTGGCTACGGCACTGAAACTGGGCTCTACACAGAGCAGTTTCACGCACAAATATTCCCACGCATCAGTCACTGTGTCAGTCACTTCGAACGGACAAACAGGAACTGAGAGGGCTCCCCCAGCTAAGAAAACGACAAAGATGATGAAGAAGAAAGCATGTATCACATGCTAAGTGCTATGCCAAGCACTTTACTTACAATGTGCCAACTGCTCTCAAACGACCCCACGGGGTAGGCCCTATTACCATGTCCATTTTGGGTTGAATGACCTGCCCAAGGTTGCACCTACGAGAAGGGGGAGGATGTCTGCACCCAAACTGCACCCTACATTGTAGCACCTTCTCCCACCTGCCTTGGTCTTGACCATGAAGGTGCCAAGAGCTGTCCCAGGGGGCATGTGGATGGGCAGCACTGAGATGACACCGTCCATAAGGCTCTATGCAGGGGACCAGCCCTTTGGAATCTGAGGTAGAGATTCAGACAGGGAGTGGAATGAGACCTACAGAGCAGGCAGGCCGAGACAGGACATGCCAGGCTGCTTCCATACCTCCGATACTCCATGGGAAAGGGGTCTAAGGCTAACTGTGGGGTCTACCTGGGCTGGAGCACCCCTCCCTTGGCTGTGGTAGTAACTGAAGCCAGAGAATCCCAAAGGGATGGTGAAATTCAGGAGCCACTGAAGGCAGCCATCCTCTGTCTCCAAGGAGTCCCTCCTGGCCAGTGGTTGTTTAATTAAAGGACTTTATTTACATTGTTATTGCTCTAAGAATCACAAAAGTGTGAAGACAAGAGAAAGGGTCTGCCAGCCCCATCATCCATCTGTAAAAGGCCTACCCCTCCCAGGATTTCCCACAGACTCTCTGTCCACCTGTTTCGGCATCCTTGGCCTCCCAGAGGACCATCCTCAGTCTCTTTAATCTACACTCCAAATATTGAAGTTGCAGTCCTGCTCTGCACATAGGGACTCAGAGATAAGTCAGTCTGGGGAAAGGAAGCTAGCGGGAGCAAACAAGGGGTTTTCTGAGTGGAGGGAGCACAGGTCACAGGGCAGAAAACGCATGGGGCACACAAACCCCAGCCATGTCACCCTTCGAGGCACCTCTGCCTCCATTTCCTTCCTGTTTTCCTTGGCTGATGCCTAATTTCCCAACAGCAAACTGCTGTTAATAAATGGTGATTAATACTTCCCTGTGCTTGTGGTTTCATATTTCTGTTTATAACCTATTTCATTTCAGTGCGACAAACGCCTCTGAGTTAAACAAATGTACCCACTTCACAGTTTGAGAAACTGAGGCCCAGAGAGGCCAGAGGGAACCTAAGACTAGAGTCAGAGCTTGAAACAGAGCCTCATTCCTAGGGCTCCAAGCCCCTTATTCTTCCCTCCAGCCTTTCCTTCCCTACCTAGAAGGGAGAAGGCACAGCCCCCTCTCCCTCTTATGGGAACGTCAGGGAGGATGAGACTCCCTCACTCCAGTTACACCTTGTAAGGGAGACAAGATCAAAACAAATTATTATTAAAACTAATGTTTAAATGGTCCTTCGTGATTTACAAACAGCCTTTAGGGACACTTCTCATCAGAGAGGTAGAAATTAAACTTGTCCTCACTGAAGAGTTAGGGAAGAAGAGGTAAGAACAGCTTATTTGGTTAGGGCTATGACAGAGCCTGGTTTAATCCAGGTCTGGGCTCTTAGACTGAATCTAGGCACTCAGGAGGCTGAAAGGGTCTGCAGGGGGCACTGCAGCCGGGGTGGGGGCGGGGGAGGGCTTACTGCTGGTCCCAGATGATGAGATGAAAGAGGTATTTGGAGAAGTGAGCCCTTCGGGTCTGCAGGGGGCTGCACAGCTCCTTGCCGCCATGGCTGAGGGAGCAGGAGAGGTAGAAATCTTCATAGCTGTGAAAGAAAGGGTGCAGGTCAGGACGCTTGGCTCCCAAACCCCATCCCAGTCACCCAAGCTATGCCAAACTCCACTTCCCCTGGCAAAACTCCCCTGGACTGGTGGGACCAGAACGTGGGGTCAAGGAAAAGGACACCAAACTGGATCTGCAAATGTGCTCTGGGAAAAGCAACTCAGTGTGGATCCCTCTGCCCAATTTCAGGTTCCATGCTGAGCCCGTGGTTTTTTCCCTTTTTGATTGGGGACCAGCTATGCAGCCTCCGCACAGCCAGCCCCAGCCCACCGGGTGACCGTGTGCATGTGTGCGCACAGGCGCATGCGCAGGTGAGAAGGGTGGGGGATGAAAAAACGACATATGCTGACATGAATGCCAACACATGGGGGTCCCTGTGGCTCGTGACAGGTGCCTGACAGAAGAGGTCAGAGAAGGCCCTGGTTTCCCAGGCTGCCTCCTTTGTTCTCCGCCAATTGCCCAGAGGAATACATTAAGTGAGGAACAAAGAGAGAAGGGGAAGGGAGGGGGAGGGAGTCCGGGAGGGGTGGAGGCGCGTGCAGCCAAAGGCCTATTCCCCCAGGCCTGGGATGCTGGGGGACCCTGAAGAGATGTTGAGGATTACTAAGTGAACTCCTCCTCCACCCACCCCTGCAGGCCTAGGGAACTGCAGACAAAGGGTCATCTCCCACCTCCCCACCTCCTCCCATTGTGCATCTGCAAGGGAGTGCAGTCACTGGCCATGGGGCATGCACTCGGATCTGGGAAGCAGCCATCTGTCGCAGCCCATCAGCTGGCCTTGGATGGGAGGGGGCAGGGATGCCTATGCAGCCAGCACGCAGAGGGAATGGCAAGATCTGACCACTGCTGGCTTTCTGTGCTCTGGGATGTCCCAGCCCACCTGTGTCTTCCTCTCAGTGAGCTCACCCCCTCAGCCACAGTACACCACAATGCCACAGATCCTAAATTTAAGACCGTGGGGTCACACGCAGACAGAAGAAGCCACCCGACGTCAAACTCGGCTTTCAGCCCAGGGCTTACCTGGTAGCCCATGTGATGGGGATGCGGTGGGTGGCATAGACCGTAAAGGCCAGAGGCCCAGAGAAATGGCAAGCCTCTTGGACCAGATCATGCTTGCGGCTCCCGGGCACTGATGTCTGGAAGTCTGCATTGAACGTGTTGCAGTACAGTTCCACCAGGTCCAAGATGGCAGCTGTCAGGGCTTCCACGACCTTCTCTGCGGAAGGAAGGCGACAGAAGGAAAAGTCGTGAGGCTTCAACAAGCCTCATCTTGTTGCCATGGCACTGGCTAGGATGGGGGTACCCTAGGACAGTAGACCCCAAATGCCCATCACCCATCTGTGATGAAATGAGGAAAAAGCAGGAGCTTGTCGTGAGCTTCTCATGAAATGATAGATATTTAATGTTAAACACTGTCCTTTTTACATATTGCTACTTTAGTGATAAATTTCCTTTCTTTTAGGAAATAGTGGGAATAATAATTATCAGTTTCTTTAAAAATGTCATTGCTTGGCAAAATAAAAGCTGACAATTCTGTGTTGGTCCCCAAAATAATACTTTTTGGTCCACGAAAGCCAAAAGACTGGGAATCATTGACCAAGAATCCCAGAGTCTGGGGCCTTTTATAGGGCAGTATTCTGCTTGAAAGACTTACGGGAGAATCCTTGTGAAAAAGTCTTTATCACCCTCTCCCCAGCCCTATTCTGAGCTGGAAACATAGGGGTTATGAGCTGCCTGGAGAGTAACCACAACCGACCCAAGTGAGAGTTTTCCCATCTGGATCCCAGGGCTGACTCTCCCCGCCACGCCCACCCTCACTTATACCACCTCATCACCATCTCCCAGGGACATCACAGGAATAACTAGTAAAAATAATGAGAAAACATTTTGTGGAAAGAAATGTGCTCTCCAGCTGTGTCCACGCCTCATATAGGAAAACACACACACACACACACACACACACACACAGAAGCAGATCCTGGACCCATAAATCAAGGGGGCCTGGACAGACCAGTTTTCAGCTGCCACTCCTGGATGAAGACGGCAGCTCCCTTACCTCGGTTTTCCCTCACAGCCAAGACGGTGAGATCCTATTGGGGAAAATGGAGAGGGAAGGGAGCTTCAGCACCACGGCCTTTTCTGTCACAGCTGGAGGAAGGGCTTTTCACAGCTGTGCTCATCTGGACCAGACTGGACCGGAATTTGAGGAGCAGGGGTTCCCCAGGGAGGATGGAGTAATAGTTTGTACCAGATCCGTATGATGGACAGTGAGCCAGACCAACGATACAATTATCGTGTCCACCCACATGAGACACTCCAGCCCTCAGGCCGCTCCACGGCAGACCACAGCGCCTATCGGGCTGGCCGTCCCTGTCTGCACCGCACACAGCCCCCACTGGGGAGTCCCCGAGTCCCTGGCTTGGGGGGGTGGGGGGCGGGGATTTGAGTCTTGCACCCTGATGGGTATGCAAACTATGAGGCAGTGCCTCGGTGATTGTGAATAAAGCCTTTGCTGGCCTGGGCTCCCAGCAGTCAGTCCCAGTGGGCAGACCTTGGCCCACCCCCATCCTCAGGAAGAGGTGATACACTTGGTATCCATTTCCCAAGAAGTCCTGTGGCTAAAGGTTCAAACATAAAAGATGGGGGTGGACAGAAGAGCCTTTTAGTAGGTGGACACCTAGTCACCCAGGGACCGGTGAACATTCCTCTCTCCTTCCCCAAGCTAGCGCTCTGGGCCCCGTTACCTTCTGGATTTTAGGCTGCATTCGGGAAGAGCAGGGGGGCAGCTGGTTGAGAGCGCTGGTGATCTCGGGAGTTTCCACAGCAGCCAGGGCGTTGCAGATGGCCTTGACGGACTGGACCACCCTGTCAGCCTTCAGCGGGAAGTCCGCCTGCGGGAAGCAGCACGGGGGGCCGGCAGGCCAGCGTGCTCAGCCTCCAGTACCCACACCCACAGTGTCGAAGGAATGGGTTGGGAGGAGTGGGGGCTCATGACCCTCAGGAGTAACTAGTGGTACCCATGCTTTATTTTCAAACATCCAGCTTCGGTGAACAGTCGCTCCCACTGGATGAAAGGAGCCATGCCTGGGTTCCCCAATGCTTTCAGCCATCTTCCCTGAACCTCCTCTTATTCCCAGCCTCCCACTGTCCGCTACAGTGTATTTATACCATCTATACAAACACATGCAGGGGCTCCCCCAGAGACACCCAATTTTAATAAATCAATCCATAGGGAATAGCAAGCGGGCCAAAGAGACCATACTGAGGCCCCGCAGCCGTCTTTCTCATGCTACCATCTAGAATTTCCAGACACAGATCTCATATCAGCACCAGGGCCATGCCATACCCTCTGCACTTTGGCTCCTGCCCTGATTACCTAGGTAAATGCAAATCACAGACTAGCTAAACTCCAAGTTCCTTCCCAAAGCCTTCCTGGCCAGCCCCCGCCCCCAATCCCGCTGCCCATCACTCTCTGGGAGCCCTTGATTAACTTATTACCAACCTGTCTGTCTACTAACAGCTGCTTTATGCACAGCAGCCACTAACGTAGGGCCAGACTAGTGCACAAAAGGTACTCAGAGAACGCCCCTCTCATCGCAGTGGATGTTCAAGCAGAGGCTGCGAAGGAAGGGATTCTGGCAGTCAGTGGAGGGTTGCACTAGATACAAAGCTGAATTCCCCTAAAAGGACGACTACCATTTAACTGGGATCAATGAGACAGCCTGTTTGAAGATCACTGATTTTCTTCAGCTTCACAACATGAGGGGAAAATGTTTATTCTCATGGTTTTGAGGCTTAAAACTCCATGTGAATCCAAGTGAGGGGAGTCCTGGCCCTCCCCTACCCCTGGGACCCTCTACCTCCTGGTTTTCCACCTGCGACACCAGTACATCAGAACCTCTCAGAGCAGACGCTCCTGGGTCTTGCTCACGGGAGGCACACTCCCGTGCATGTTCAAGTACAGAAGCTGGGGTGACAACTCTGTGTCCCTGAGCTTTGGAAATGCCCTGGTCTGGAAACAGGATCAGGGCACGGTTCCTGACCTACTTCTACAGAGGAGAATCCTCTACACACACTTGCCAGCTGCCCAACAGCTGGCAGCCTTGGTTTGCCCATGTGTGAGGTGGATGAAAAGAGTGTTCTGCTAATAGATTTTCAGTGTCTGCTCCAGACCCTTTCAGTGTTAGGTGACCCCCAAGAGCACGAGGGGAGGGGTGGGGGTTTGGGGAGCTGGGCCAGCCCCAGGATTTGTACTCACATCAGCCAACAGGAAGGCATCCACCTCATTGTGGTAAGTGTCGAACAGAAGACTCAGGGCCTGCCTGGGAAGTTGGGGGCAGGAAAAAGTCATGGGAGAGGTCAGGACAGACCCACTGTACCAGAAGAGCCATTCTCTCCCTCCCTCTCCACAGTTCGTTCAGCAGTCAGACGCTGGTTTAAAGGGGTTCCCACCCTTTCCATACGTCCCGTGAAGACTGCTGGCCGGCAAGTCTTTTCTATTTGGTCACCTTTTACCTGGAGAGTGTGGCAAAGCACTAGAGGGAGGAGATGCAACATACCCTGGGGTGGGAATCCTTTCCTCTAAGACTCTTGGGCCCCATTCCCAACACCCGCAAGAACCCCCGGCCCTGGCAGAGAGGCAAGCATGTCTGCCGGGGTTCCCGCGAGGCTCCTGCTCGGGCCACATCCAAGATGGTACCCACTCTCACCTGCTGATGGTCTGTTTGACTGGCCTCTCCTGCAGATGGACGAGGTAGTTCAAGGTGGAGGGGCTCTGATCATCATTCACCTGTATGAGCACAGTATTCAGAGAGGGGTGGCGCCTTTACCTCAGCCCACGCCCACCCAGTGTGTTCCATATCGCCCTCTGCTCACTACCTCTCCATCCCTGTGCAGTCACCTACCCCTGCCCCCCGCCACCCCCCTCCCCCCACACACACACAAACCGTTCGGGCCAGGTCACTGCGGACAGCTTTCTGCTCCATCAGCTGTAGCCGAATGTCGATGTCAAACTTCCGACAGTACTGAATATACTCATGGCTGCCCAGGGCGTGCTTGCTGGTGGGACAGGGGGACAAGACTATTAGCATCCTGGGGACTCAGTGGAACATGCAAGGGAAACACATACTTTGGCCTTAGGGAGGGAGAAGCAGGGGGAAGAGGGAGGTGAAGGGGTGGTACCTGTGATGCACCCCCACCTTGGCTCCTGGGAAATACCGCGGCAGGGCTCGGGGAGAGAAACAGAGGTCCGTCTAAAGAAAAGCCACCTAATGCGTTTAACCCTCGGTCTGTACAAACGTTGACTTTCCTAAGTATTTATTACCTAGACCGTTCATCACTCCAGGGTGGGAACTTCTGGAGGGAGTCGGGAACAGAGAGACTTCTCAGGGACAGTTTAAACCCCATTCTCTTGGCTTCGGTACACAGCACACACTGGAGCCAGGCTGTGCTCAGACTTGGGCGTGGAGCTCAGTGGGTGACACCCTCCCAACACTGTGGTCCTAAGTCTCACACCTCCACCATTACCGTTACCAATGTGGGTGCGGGGGCCAGCCAGGCCAACCCATCAAGCTACCAGGTCTATCACCCTCAAGCCCGTCAAAGCTCTGCTTCTCACCTCCCTCCGTGGGTCCTGCCTGACTGTGAATAACAGTATAAATCTCTACGGATCGCCTGTGTGCCAGTTCCACTGCTCAAGGGACATGTGAGACGCCCCCTCCCCCCACACCCAACCGTTACCACGAGAAGGGGGCCTAGGGAGTCCCCCAGTGATCCAGCCCCCTCCTCCCTCCCAGTCACACCTCAGTCAGAAAGGAAACCCGGGAGAAGGGCAGAGTGAGTCCCACCTGCAGGCCAGCACTGCAGGCCGGGGCCAAGTCCCAGCAGCTGGGTAACAGAAGCCGGAAAGGGACTTCCTTCCTCAGCAGAGCTGGGAATCTAGGCCAGAAATGGAGGGGAGAAGAGAGGAGCAAAGGAGAAGGCTATGTGCAGAAGCTGACAGAGGTGCCCGGGCCTGAGGCCAGTCTGGGTCCAGCTAGGGCTTAAGTGGGTTTTCCACACCCGGATGGGCCAAGCCTCTGATCTAGGCCCCAACCTGCTAAGACTGAACTGCAGCCAAAACCTGGGGGTGCGAGAGGCTGGGCTGTGGGGCGGGTCTAGGGGGAGTGCCCTGAGAGGAAGGAAGAGTGTGGCGGGGTTGGGGAGGTAGCAGGAAACCCAACCCTCCCCTGGGACCGTCTCAAGGTTCTTATCTGAGAGCAGCCTGCTTCCTGGATCCGCCACTCCCCCTCAGCGTCAGCCATGCTCGCTAGGCAAAGGTAGGTAGGAAACACAGGGCCTCCTTGGGAGCTGGCAGCTTTCTGGAACCCCCCAGAGGGTCCTTTCCACCTCCATCCAAGGCAGCTGTCTTGTGCTCAGGGGTCTGGGCTTTCCCGTTGAGTGGGAGGGGGCTCCTGGACCAAGAGTGATGGCCCCAGGCTCCCTGGGGACTTGCTTGACCTTCTCTGTGGAAGGCCCTCCTCTGCGGGTGTTCCAGTTACAGTGGGAGAGGCATGGCCCCAGGACCAACAGCCTGCTCCACCTCATCCGGAGCACCCCACCTAGGTCTTGGCGGGAAGTCAGAACCTGAACCTGACAGCTTCTCTATCACCTCTGGACTCTGGGGCTCAAGGACGGGGGAGCTGAAAAGGAAATGTCAGCATCCATCTGATCCAGATCCCCAGGCATTCCTCTCTGTGGACCAGTCCTTCCCTGCAAGTATGTATTGACTGCTCACTGGGTCATTCTCACATTTACCTGTCGCTACATTTTACAGAAGTTGCCCCAACTAAGAAGGGGCAAGCTGGAACCCAAACCAGTTGTGTTCATGTGACCCACTACACCCCTTGCTCCCTTACAAGAGTGGCAGGCTGCCTGGGGGACTCTTTGCCAGGACACCCTGAGTCTAGGCCCCCCTTCATTTCTTTATGGGAAAGCGAGTACGCACGGTACACATTTGTTGCCCCCTTCCTTTCTCGCAGTTTTCCAGTTGAGAGCACAGAGGCCAGAAAGGGCCCACGATATTCCTAAGGTTAAAGAAACCAGCCAAGAACTGCTCCAGCCCTAGGTCAACCACCCATGCAACCAGACTGGCATGTAAGAAGAAGAGCAAGCGATGGCACTTAATCAGGGAGACACAAGCCCCTCCTTTCCCCATTCGCAAGGTCTGCCTCCTCCAAGTGGCCCAGGTTGTCGGCAGTAGGTAACTGGACGCTTGGGGAGGAAAACGGATCTCTATTTTCTTATCTGCTGCCCTCTGGCTGATTCTACAGTCGGTCACGCAGCTGTACCCCTAAAGGGTAGAATCCCCCTCCCCTCCCCCCAGCACTCCAGAGCCCCGGGGCAGTGCAAAGGGGACTGCAGCCTACGGCCCACATCACACTTTCCAGGGAGGCCGCTTGCTGCAGAGGGCACTGGATGAAGAGGAGCTGGAGGCGAGCCTTTGGTGAGGAGCGTAACCAGCTGCACATGCCGAGGCGGGGGGGGGGGGCTAGACCGCAGGGGGAGGGGAGAGCAACTGTGATTTTTAAACCCTAGGTTCCCCAGGGTGCTTCCTCCCAGTCCTCCTTCAGCCCCTGGCCCCCATACATACATCTCTCCATATGCAGAAGTCTGCAAGCAGATATGACCTAGTCTTTGCCTAATCCCAGCTCCAAGCTCTTTCCACAGCGGACTTGGCTCATGAAGCCAGCCAACCCCGCTGGAAGACTGAGCTCCTGGGGAAAGTGCGACGTGGCTGAGAGTATGCCCAGAAAGCACGAGCCCTGACTATGGGGCTGGGGAGGAGCTGCCAGTCCCAAGCCTCGAGCCCAGCACCCCGCTGTGAAGCCCCCTCACAATCCTACCACCAGGGAGGCAGGTGCCGCTCCCGCCCTGCCTGTCCCCACCAGGCAACTCACTTCTGCAGGAACTCTTCTAGCCCACAGGGCTTCAGCACAAAGTCACCCACATCTACATCCCTCAGTTCATCATGGGTGTAGCACAAGGTCTGGTAGATGAGCAAGTCTACAGTGGAGGAACCTGTAAGGGGTGAGGTAGGGGGAGCAATGAGGCGGGGGCACTGGGGCAGACGGGGGTCGTCCTGATCCCTGACCCCTGGCTAGACATTCTCCAGCACCATCACCAGCCAGACAAAGCAGGCCAACACACAGTCTGCATGGAGCTGGGAATCAAAGCCAAAGGACGCTACACGGTCACCCCAGCCGCACCTCAAGGGATTCTCGCCCCGCCTCCCAACTAACTTACAGTTGCAGGTAAAAGTAAGTGGCTCCCGCAGGCTGTCACACAACACAGTCACCTTCAGGTTAACCTCATCCCCTAGGTGCTCCGGGCTCGGGGTGACAGCACTCCAGACATAGCCTGTGAGGGAGTAGTCTTGGATGTCAGAGCCAGATCGAAGGCTGTGCAGGAAGAGAGGGAGAAGGACCCTCGCTGTGCCTCCCGAAGAGAGCAGTCAAGAAGAGGCCTGCCGGGACCCTCCCACCCTGAGGCCTGAGGGCCCTTCTGTCCCCACCCAACCCGGCGGCCCTCCAGGTCTTCAGGCCAGGATGGAGGCATTGGGGAAGCAGCTCTGGGAAACCACGGTCTCGACACATTCGTTGCAAAGATTTTCCTAAGCTGAGTTGAGCATTAGGGTTAGTTCTATAATGACACAGCTTTCCATAATAAGTTCCATGGAAAAGTTTTCTGAACCCACTTCCTTTCTCTTTTCACTTCAGATAAAATAACACGCTTATCTCCAACTGGGGTGCATTTGTTCCTAAGGGCAACAGAGCCGGAAAAGATTGGAATCATTTGACTTTTAGATGGAGGTTTCATGAAATTTTGTCCAAACTGTGAAACTTCTTAAGATCCCAACAAGCCTGCAAATACCTGTTGTAGGAAGCATTCCATAGTTTTGAACTGAGGTTTATTCAGTCTGGCTCTTCTTCCTCCCCAGAAAGTTCTGAACGGGGTTGGGGGGGGGTGACTCTCCTCCCCACCGCCCCCAACTCTCCCCAACCCTCCGATTCTTTTAACTCTTACATATCCAGCATGTGGCAAAATGCAGCAACTTCCTCATCTCTCTCCTCTGAGACCTCAAACAGCTCATGGCCATTGGTGACGGCGTGGGGCCGGGAGCCCACCTTTAAGAGAAGAGTAGTTGACTCAGCGCCTCTCCCCTCATGCCAGCCCCTCCCCATAGGCTGCTCCTGATCTAAACTCTTTAACTCTAGGTGTCAAGGCTTTCTAGTGAAAGGCGCACAAGAAAATAGGGGAAATTCAGGATTATCTATCCTCCTAAGAGACCAAGAACCAAGCTGAAAAAGAGGACTTCAAGCCTTGGCGAAGTCTGGAAGCCTGGGTGGGATGGACATGAGTGTGGCCCAACCTCCTTCCAGAGAGGCCAATGTCTAATATGCTCAAGGCTGCCGGTCAGGCAGTGCCCGGCTTGCTGGGCTGCAGGCAAGACTTTCTGGGGGAATGTTCCCAGAGGCATGGCAGGGAGCTGAGCAGACAGCTATTTTTTCCCCATCCCACCACTGAGGCCAGAGCAAGTGGACTGTCCAAGCAGTCCCCAGGGAAGCTGGGCCCTGAGCAAAGTTTCAACATCCACAGCCGGCCACAGGGACCCAGCACGGAGAGGGGCGGAAAGTCCATAGATGGAGGTGATGACTCAGATACACGTCCCTTCCCGGGCAATGCTATTTGAGGAAGAAAGTGTCAAAGCAGCTTTCCGGGTAGGAAAAGAACCTGATAGAAGGCTTAGCTCCTCCTGGCTCTTGAGTCTTGTGGTCCTGAACAGCTGGAATGTCAGGGAGCCTGCCTGAGCCCCACCCCCTGTCCGAGCACATGTGTGTGGTGGTGGGGATTCTCTCAAAGCAGACCTCAAACTGTCTCCCACCCCACAGCTGCTCTCAGTCACCCTTGAGGAGTTCTAAAGCAGCCCTCGAACAAGGCCTGCAGTGCAGCCCCAGGGAGGAGGAAGTGGAGGGGGAGCTGGTGCGTGACGGGCCTGCTCAGAGCCGCCAGGGGAGGCCACCCCAAGGGAATGAAGCGACATCTCGGATGGAGTGCTGGCCTGCATCCGGTAAAGCGGCCACTTCCGGGGTCTGCACACACACGCACCGCCTCACCTCTCAGCCTGCCCCGGGCTCTCCTGCCATCCTCCCCGCCCGCAGGGGGCAGATGGCAACAGCTGAGCTCCTCATTTGAATATCCAGATTGTTTCCTCTGAGTGACCCCCTCTGATTGGCCTTGCTCCCCTGGGTGAGCACGGAGGGGGTGCAGAGAGGGGAGGGCAGCCGTGGGGCCAGTTGGCATGTGAGGCCCTGGCTCTGCCAAGTTCGTGCCTGTGTCCCAGTCAAAACAATAGCACCACTGTCAGCAACTAACCCACAAAAGTGAGAGCAATAGGGAAAGAGACAGAGACAGAGACAGAGACAGAGAGACAGAGGAGGGGAAGGCAAGGGGCGTGGAGAAGAGAGTGGAGACTGAGGGCCATTTTCATGCTCTTTCAGTGCCACTCACTGGCTCCATAAGAAAACAAAAGCCACTTACGTTCACCCTGCTGGCAGGCCCTGGTGGCATCGCCCGATGCTGGTGGGGGGAGTTTGCCGGGTAGAGGCTGGCAGCGGGGGTATCAGGCTGGCATTTGGAGCCAACCATTTCCAGAGCTGGCTCTGCAGGCCTGGGACAAGGAGGCACCCTCCCGCTGGAAGCCCGGCGACGGCGGGGCGGTGGTACAGGCCGAGGGACTGAGGGGTCCCCCCTCCTGGTGGGATGAGCCCCTGCACTGAGCTGGGATGGGGAAGACCAAGGCCGCATTTTCCCCTAAGAACTGGCCAGGGCTTTTTGCTTTGCCCCAGGTTCTTCAAGGAGACTCTGGACCAAGCTCCCTCCCAGAACTCTGATAACACACAGGGGATGGGGGAAGGAAGGGGGCAGGGAGCAGGAGTGGGAGGCACAGAGGTGACCACCTACCAGGGTGGCCTGATTCGGTAGGGTGGCGAGCAGGCCCAGCTGTGCGGAACAGGAATCTCCCAGTCCCTATAAATAGCGAGATCAGCCCCACCTCTCAGAGCAGGGCCTTTAAAAGGCCCTGTGCGCTAGAGCTGTGACTTATCCCTGGAGCTGCCTCTGCTTTGGGAGACTCTCAGCAGAAGCACAGGAAGAAAGGACCACGTGGTTTTTCCAGAGTTGTGAAGGATCCCAACTGCTGGGACACAAGGTGGGAAAGCCCCAGCGTCCCTCAGACAATGGATAAGGAGGAAACAGGGATGGAATGAGGAGGCGCGCTGTCAGGACAGAAGTCATCCGCTGTGGGGGGTGCCTCTCGACTCCAGGGCCCAAAGGTGAAACACAAAGCAGGCTTCAGGTCCCACCTATGGAGGTGCTGCTGGCTCTTTTTAAACCAGAAAAAGATCAAGCCTGTCCTGGAGCCCACCCCACGCTTCTATGTAGAGATTTTGCTTTTTATACTATCTACCGATAAGAGTAATTAATGTCATATTGCGTATTTTTTTCTAAATATTTTCACTGTGAAAAGAGATGGATGACGGTAATGGTTACACAACTACGTGACTGTATTTAATGCCACTGAACAGAACACTTAAAATCGGTTAAGACAGTAAATTGTATAGTATGTATATTTTATCACAGTAAAAGAAAGAGAAAGAGATGGAGGGAGGGGGTGGGGGAGAGAAACAGACAGCGACAGAGAGAGAGTCAGAGAAGGGGTGAGGAGAGACAGACAGAAGAAGAGAGACAGAGAGAGCCAGAGAGGAAGAAAGCGAAAGACAGAAGGAGGGAGAAGAGAGACGGAGGAGGACAATCGAGCTTCGGGAGGAGAGGGACCCGGGCTGTGTGCTGTGGACTGCTGGGCGGGGTTGCTGAGGCGTCTGACCCAGGGTCTGGGGACTCAGTGAGCAGTAAACAGTTAATGTCATGATTAGGCCCCATCACCAGGCAGCATTTTTGGCAGAGCAGAAAGTCAAAGAGCAGAGGCAACTCACTCCAGAGCACAAAGCCATCGGGCATAGAGTCACCAAGGCACCCAATCGCCTCACCCCAGTTCATCGTTACATCGTGGAGTGGACGCACACTGGGACCTGCCCCCAGAAGAGCCATCTGGCCAAGATACACAAAACTTGGCCGGAAAAGGAGCCACATCGCTACTGGTACCCCTCTGCCTCTCCCGCATCAGGGCCCGGGGGCCCAGGGTCAGAGGCAGAGGGCAGGAGAGGCCCAAAGGGGTGAGTGTGGGGCAGATGTGGATGTGGAACAGCAAGCAGGAGGAGGGGCTGTTCTTTGTTTCTAAGTGACATGGGGAAAGGGGACAGAGAAACACAACAAGGTCCTCACCTGAGCGGCAGAAATCCGGCGATTCTTGCCATGTGTTGAGTTTTTTCGGTTGGCATAGCGGGAGGTGTAGGTGCGGGGAGGCACCTGGGGGGGCATGGTCTTGCTCCGGGCCACGGGTTTTCCAGGGGTGTCCTTGCTGAAGTCCAGGGGTGCCCGGCCCTCCTTCCAGCCCCTGGTGGCGTCCCGCAACATCTCTGCATCATAGGTTGACTTCAAGTTGAGCCGTGTAATGGCATCATTGATACCGTCGTAGTCCACAGAGTCCAGGAGGCGCCCCGGACCCCTACCTCTCGGCTCCTCCTCCTCTTCTAGGATCTCTTGCCCTAGCAATTTGCCTGGAGGTTGTTCGGCCAAAGAAAAAGTGTTGATGTCATTGGGCTGGGAGATCTTGGAGGGTGAGGGAGACCCCTTTCTGGGAGGCAGGGGAGGAATGTTCCAGATAGAGACTCGAGGAGGCAGAGGAGGTGGGGACAGTTTCTTGGAAGAATCATCTGTGTCCCCGGGTCCTGAGGACAAAGAGAGCCCCTCATCCGAACCATCAAAAATGTAGAGATAGTCTCCAGCCAGGGTGCCTTTGGGCCAGGGATCTGGGCCAGGCTGCGAGCCCTGGGAGGTAGAGTGGTTGGGCAGCCCTTCCTGTGGGGAGAGTGAGTTGTAATTGAGGGTAGGATCAGAGCCAGAAAGACCGCGCAAGAGCGTGAGGTCCTTCCGCCTTCCCGCTGGCTTGCTGTAGAAGTCTAGGACGGGCTCGTCCCAGCTGATGAGAGAGGGGTCTGTGTTCTGCTTGGCTCTGCTTTCCTCCTTGTCATGCCGAAGCCGGGACAGAGCGTCATACTCCATCTGCAGGGCCTCGGCCATGGCCAGCTCCTTGCGGCTGATGCCCACCAACTCCAGTGACTTCCAGTGCTCCCCATTGCCCTGAGTCGAAGACATGGTGAGGATGGGGGACACGGGAGACAAGGAAGTCTTCTACTTCCTGGCAATGTCAGGTCTGCAGGGTTGTGGCATGGTGTCTGGGCACCTGCAGGTGAGGGATAAAGATATCAATCATTCAGCCACAAAAAGAGATGTGTGAATAATCTGACTGGGTTATATCATCTGGGCCACTGCCTGTTTCTTGAGTGCCTACTACAGATGGAAAGAAACTGAAAGATGGAGGAAAAAAGACACCAAGACAAATTTATTTATCTATTACATCCATCCACCCTTCCATTCATCTATATATGTTTCTGTCTCTGGTCCCTAACTCCATCCTCACCTTGCTCACAGGTACACTGAGGAAAGGAGGAGTCATTTTGTGTCAGCTAAGAGGAAAAGATGGAGACAGGCTCTTCAGTCAATTTAAAGAGGGCACACCGCTGGTGGGGAATGTGAAACAGTACAACCACCTTGAAAAACAGCTTCTCGGAAAGGTAAACATCCACTCCATATGAGTCAGCTATCTCACTCCTGGTTCCTTACCCAAGAAAAATGAAAGTATATATATCCACACACAGACTTGCGCATGAATGTTCATGGCAGCCTAATGTGAATACCGAAAAAGGGAAACCACCCAAATGTCCATCAGCAGGTGAATGGATTTAAGAAATGTGATATGTCCACACAATTGAATACTACTCAGCAACAAAAAGGAAAGAATTGCTGATAGCATGTAATAACATGGATGAATCACAAGATAACTAGGCTGAGGAAGAGAAGCCAGACAAAAGAGTGTGAGAGTGTAGGATTCCATTTATATAAAATTCTGGAAAATGAAAACTAATCTACAGAGACAGAAAGCAGGTCAGTGGCTATCTGAGAAGGGGTGGAAAGAGGGATGGTTACAGAGGAGGATAAAGAAACTTGGGGATGATAAAAATGTTCACCATCTTGACTGCGGTTAACAGTTTCACGGGTACATACTTACATCAACACTTAAATCGCACACTTTAAGTATGTACAATTTATTGCATGTCAATTTTACCTCAGTAAAGCTGAAAATGAAAAGTACAATAGGTCCTATAAACAGACATTACAAGTACTCAGAATGCACTAAGGTCCTCCCAAAATAAACCAATATGATCAATAAAACAAGACTTGCCAACAGGTGAGGCCTGGGGGTCTTGGCCCTCAGAAGCAAGGCAGGACCCCAGGCCAGGTGCATCTGGCCGCAAGCAGCCCCCTTCATTGACTCCAGTGTTGATATCCTTTTCCTTTAGGAGCCCTGTCAAAAGGCAGTGAGGGCATGGTTGTAATGACCATGTTAGCCTGGCCCAGTGGTTCTCAACCCTGGCTCCATATTAGAAATGCTGGGGGCTGGGGGTGAGGGGGTGAGGGAGGGTGGAGTGTGTGTTTAGCATGCACGAGGTCCTGAGTTCAATCCCCAGTACCTCCATTAAAAAAAAAGAAGCATTTGGGGAACTTCTGAAAAGTACTGATGAGATTACTGGTACTCTCAAGAGATCCTGATTTAATTGGTCTGCGGTAGGGCAGTGGTATTTTTAAAAACTCCCTGGAAAATTAGTCTGTAGCGGAAGCCGAGAACCATGGACGTGTGTGTGTGTGCGCGCGCGCACGCGCGCATGCATGTGATTCAGATTAGGTTGGGGTGGGCAGGACAGTGTGAAGCAGACACTTCTGACCCTTTGCACTGGCTGCCGGTAAGTTCAGGATTTCCTAAAATTATCAACAAGTCTTCATTTTGCTGTACTGCTTTACCCAGCAGGTAACAAACATACGAAGCACATCCTTCCTTATGATGAGAAAATTGAAAACATCAGTAGGAAAAAAGTTAAGATCGATTCGTGTGTGGCAAGTTCCACAGACTCCAAATGAGTTCGGAGAACAGCATCCCCTCCCTTGAGGTGCCCTCCCGGGACCCTGGTACATCTGTCAGGTACAGGCTGGCTCAGTGAGTCCCAGGAGGTATCTTCCCAAAACCAGAAGAGCCCAAGCCCAGCTTCAGGGCACACAAAGTGGGTCTCTGCTGACTGCTCTGCCTGTTGAGTTTCTCCGCCTTCCAACAGCTCCTTACCGATTACTTTTTATCCACAGATAGTAGGAAGGAATCTTGCTACTTGAACTTTAAAGGAATCGGATGAACAGATGGAGATACTCAGAACTTGGCCACCCACAGATGGGAACCTGGACCCAGGAAAAGGAGGGCCTAGTGCTTCAGATGGGAGATGCTAGATAAACGCTCAAAGTTGGACTGAGCTTAAGCCTTTTAATCCAGCGAACGACTGTGGATTTTCAGCCCTGAGCTGGGACAAGCAGAGTAGTAAGACTGGCCTTAGCCAGGCACCACTGTGAAGAGAAAAACTGAGGCCATAGGAAATAATCTTTCTCAACGTCCTGCCTCTCTTCCCCGTTGACAAATCCACCCTTGCATTCAGCCTCCTTTTCTTCCTTTTGGTCTCAGGGGAAGCAGGCCCCCGCCTCGTGCTGAGGGACAACCCTCCTGTGCTCCTGCCCCCATCCATGGGGTCTCCTCCAGGATAACGCTCCACGAATTTCCCTTCCCTTTCCCGTATCTTCACCTCCCTCCTTAACTGGGCCTCTCTCTTTAGCACATAAACATGTCCAAGCTTCTTCTAGCCTTAAAAAGAAAAAGAAGAGGAAAAAAAAAGAAACTACACCCTGAGCACCTTCTCTTGACTTCGTCCTCCAGCGAATACCCTCCCCGTGCTTCCTCCCCTTCCCAGCCACACTTCACAAGAGCCGAAGACACGCTGTTTCTCGACAGTGTCTTATTTATTCTTCAGCTCACCATAGTCTGGCTTCTGCCCCCAACATTCCACTAAAATGCTCCAGCAACAACGCCCAGGCGACCCAACTCCACAGACATTTCTATCTGCCCGGACACTGCTGCTGCATTTGGCTCTCAGACCATTCCCTGTCTCCTTACATCCTCTACCCCTGGCTCCCATGGTTTCTGGGACACTACTTTTTCTTGCTCTCCACCTCCATCTTTGTCCCTCTTGTGTCCACCCCTGAAATGTTGGCGCTGGCTCAGGATTCCATTCTCAGCCTCCATTAACATGACACCCCCAGCTTGGGCAGTCTCATTTCTTCTGGTCTCCCACTCATGCCCCACTCACGTTGATGGTTCCAAATGTCTCTCCCCTCCAGTTTACATGCCCACCCTTCAAACCCCAAATGTCCAGAACTGAACTAGCACCTTCTTATTTCCTTCCCACCACCTTCTCCTCCTTCCTGGTCCCCCACCTTGGTGAGTGGCACCACCCAAGCTAGGAATCCCTACCGTCTTCCTGGGTCCTTTCACCCCATATCCAATCAAGGCCTGCCCACTCTTCCCCATAATGCTCCCCAAATCTAGTCTTCCCCTCCACCCTAACTACTGCTGCCCTAATTAAACCCGTATCTTCTCCCACCCGGGCTATCACAAAAGCCTTCTAACAGTTCTTTCTCCTACTGATCCTTCCCTCTGTAAAGCTTGCTCCCCAGAGCAGCCAGAGGGCTCTTTGTAAAGGGTAAATCTGATAAGTTCACTCTCTGCTTAAACCCCTTCAAAGGCTCTCTACCTGATTCCTTTACAAGGTCTTTATCATCAGCCCTCATCTTCCTCTCATCTCCAGTACATTCATTCCCATGCACTTTGTACCTCTGCGATCTTGTTCAGTATCTTCCTGCTCCTGGGCTCACCCTTCCCGACTGCCGAGCGCTCTTTGCCTGTGTGCCTCCAACTTCTCAAACTGTGCTGAGACATCAGGTTCTTCGGGAAGGGTTCTCTGAACCCCCAGCTTGGACTAAGGTCCCCATTTTTATGCTCCCAATAGCAACCTTTAAATATCGTCTTAAAATCTTTTATTCAAAATTATTAAGTGTGGACCTGCCACGAAGCTCCTCAAGTTCCCAAATCACCTCTTTTCCACTGAACTTGAACCGGGATATGAGGGCAGAGCTTTCTGATGGTGAGAATTTTCAGGCGTGGAGGTGGGTCGCCTGGATGCAGGTGGTGTCCTTCCCTGGGGATCCTGCAAAGGTAGGACTGGGCTAGGTTTAGCACCTGTAAAGGCAGGTGGGCAGATAGACAAGACCACCAAATGGTGGGGAGGGGTGTAGCTCAGTGATTGAGCATATGCTTAACATGCACGAGGTCCTGTGTTCAATCTCTGGTACCTCCATTAAAAAAACAAAAAGACCACCACACAAAGTGCCTTCCAGCCCTGGGATTCCTCGGTTCTGACTTACTGATTCCCTTTAGTCAAAATTCGCAGAGAATGACACAGAATGCCACAGTTATCCCTGGGAGGAAAGAGAAGGAAGGCCCAGCTCCTGAGGCCCTTCCCAGCCTGGAATTCACAGGAGGAAAGCTGAGCCACCCCTCTCTAACCACTGTCCCCCAGCTCCCGGCCAGGGTGCCACCCCACTGCCTGTCAGGCACTCAGAGGAGGCGCGGCCAGCTGACAGATCGTGAGCCCGGGCCGTGCTGGCAGCTGCGCCTCCCAGAAGGTTCAGTGTTCTGCTCAATTATGCTGCACGATGCGTGCTGAGGAGGTAGGACAGACAATATCCCCTGCAGGACCAGGACCAGGACCAGAGAGCCACCCCCTAAGGTGGAGTGAAGGTTCAGAGCAGCAGCCAGGCACAGGGCCAATCCAGAGAGGCTAAGAGGAAGGCGGGAGCTACCAGTCCCAACCACCTGCAGCTGAAGGGCGCTGGCTTCCCCTAAGAACTCAAGCGCTGAATTTCATCTTCCAGAAGGGGTGGGGAGACACAAAGTATTTTAGGAATCAGAGTCTCATGTTTCTTGCCTCCCCCATTCTCTTCCCCAATTCAGTTCCCTCCCTGCCAGTCTCTGCTGGGTTGACAAGTTAGAAACTGCTCTGTTTCCTTACTCTGCAAGGGCTACTAGAGATTCTGTAAAAAAAAAAGCAAATATCCAGGTGGGTCCCAGGAAAGAGCTCGGTGCTTGAGGGCCTGGGTCTTGGTTATTCCATACCCTATGCAGGAAGGCTGGGGCCAGGAACGCGGCATCGCACAACTCCATGGAGCACCCACACACTTCACTCCATGAATGACATCCTCTAGCACAACAAAGAGAACCACGTGTATGGCGCCCCCTGGAATTGTGCACCTTGGTGGCCCTATGTTCTCTTCTAGCATCCACCTCTTAGAGGGTAGATGGAAACTGGCTGAAAGGTCACTGCATGCACCACCTGCATGTGCTAATTGTTAATATTTCCCCACATCTGAGCATGCTCTGTCTTTCTCTGCTTAACCATTAAAAAGATGCAAACACATCACCTCTAAATACTTCAGCCTGAATCTCTACAGAACTAGGACATTCTCCTGTGCAAACACAATGCCTTCAACACACCCACAAAATTTAACGTTGACACAGTCATGTTCAAATGTTTGCCACTGTCATCTGGGAAGTTTTTCAAACATATAATTCCTGGCCTCTCTCTTGGAGGGTCCGATTTAGTGGAGTGGGTCCCTGGACTTTGAACGTTTCAAAGCCCCTCAGGCAATTCAGATGTGCAGCCAGGTCTGACACCACAGACTAGAACTGTTGGAACTCCCAGGAAGATGCGAGGGAACTGGGGACGGGGACCCCAGAGAGCACCAGGCAGTCAGCTGGTGAAGGAAGAGGGCGTGCTTCTGGCGAGCAGATCAGTGCCGGGGTCTAAGCGGCACCAGGCACCAAACTCAGTCCACACAGCGGCCAACAGATGACTAGAGGTCAGTGGGGGAGGAAATGGGGCCAGGGCAGAGCCACACAATGGTTTAAAGTCAAAGGAGAGGGCACTCCCTCCAGCAAGCAGGCTCTGTGCGGTCCCAGTGCCAGAGAGGGAGGGGTCCCTGGGACCAGCAATGACACCAGCTGTGGGTGGAGAGGGCTTCCTGGCGTCTTGCCGGAGGGCACCATGTCAGAGCTGCTCTACTTGGGACAGACAGACCAACGGGTCTGGGTCATCTCCCTACATCCTGAGCCCCAGAGCTGGATTCTGGTGGGCGATGAGCACAAGCTATGTGCCAGGTGCCATGCTAGACTCAGAAGTATTCAGAAGACCATGGCACAATTCCAGGGAGTATGGTCTAGCAAAAATGACAGCCGTGACCATAAATAATAATTCAATCCCCACTTTGGGACACAAAATGGGAAACCCTGCACGTCTTGGCCCATCTTGACTGCGCAGGGAAAATGGAGAGCTATTAAGAAAGGTGGTAAAAAATATGGAGGGTCTCAAGCCCCTAGCCTTCTAGATTTTACTAAGGGAAGATGACTCAGTTCTAGGACTGCTCTAGGAGGGGACCTTCAGTACCTCCTTCAGGATAGAATGGGTCAAGGGGTTGGAGGCCACAAGGACTTAATCCCTTTGGTTTCCAGAGTCTTCTCTTCAGAGGGGACCCTTCCCCCATCCACCCCCAACATCCACACTTACCCAGACCCCAAATCCCACTGGCCTTGCAGCCAGGGACCCATCCTGCACCCCTCACTGCACCCCCCACTGCCCTGCTCCACCTCTCCCCCCGCACAGCCCCAGCTCCAGCAGGGACGTCCGCGTGCCCTGGGCCAGGAATCCGACTCCTCCAGCAAAAGCTATAACAAGAAGTCAAGTAGGTCAGCTCCCTGCCTCACACAGATGTGCACCTGATCCCTGCTTCCGTATTGAAAACCTACAGGTCTCACACAGCTCTGAGAGCTTCTCTGATGTCAGGCCCATCACTAAGTCACACGCGCCAACAGAGCCTTTCTCTTATTTAACCTGCGTCCCCTCTGTGTGGCTCTCACTTAGTTCCACATGTGGGGAGACTCAAAATAACTGCTCGCATTTTCTTCCCACTCATACAGCCCCTCTCTAGCATCCTCTTGGCCAAATTAAAACTGCCCCGTGTGGTTCGGTCTTTGCTACTGGAACTTTCTTTCCATCTCTCTCTTTCCTGGGCCTACCCTGGACCCTCCACCAATTTAAAGCTAAAGTGGACACAAGAGTTAACAGAGAGCTCTTTGGGTCCTAAGAGAGCAGAGAGACAGGTGCCAGGAGGCTGTGACACACTTACACCAGTCGACTTTGCATTTACAGTCTTGAGTCCCCTGTCCTGGCTCAGAAACCTTCCGTGCAGCTGACTCTGTCTGCATGTGTGCACACACGTGCATGCATGTACGTGCGCGCACGCACACACACACACACACACACACACACACACAGAATCCCTGGAGATCACACCTCCTAGCACACACCCTGCAGATTTGGGATCTGAGTACAAAGAGAGTCAGAAATGGAAGAGATGAGGCAGCTCATGGCTCTCAAAACTTTCCTTCCTAGAGCTGACCATTTAGATGGGAGGGCCCAGGACCAGGATCTGGCAATCAGCTGAATGGAACCTTTGGCAAGAAGGAAAGAAAGGTCTTGGCAGTGTGTGGATTTCTAACCCAGGAATCATCCCAGGAGCCAGAGCAGCCACATCTCCCTTGTCCGGTCCATACTTCCTGCTCTCTCCTCCCCTGCCCCCAGCCACTGCAGCCCCAAGGGCCAGCCCTTCTGGTTGAGATCAGCCAGGTTCCCTCCAAGGACCACGATGGTTAAGAATGACTTTTTCAGCTTCCTCGGCCTACAGAGAAAGGCAACGGGATGGGGTGGCGGAGGATGAGAGGCGTTCCCAGGATGGCCTTCGCTTAGTAATCTTGGCCTCCAGTTGACAGGACTCCTGAGGAAACTTCTTCACAGATAAATTTCACACCAGCCCACCCACGTGAGAAAAACCACCCAACGTTTCCAAGCAGTAACATCCAGGAAACCTCAGCCTCTCTGACGGTACCGTAGACCCCAAGAAGTATAGAGGCAGCCCCTCTGGGAGGAGGAAGTGGGTGGAGTCGGCGACGGGGACACAGCAGCCCTCTCCAGCCCTCGCTTTCCACATCTGTTCTGCTCCGTCCTCATTGTTGCTTCACGGCGCCATTTGCTTCCTGTAAACCAAGGGCTCCTGCAGCGCCCAGACAGTTGCCTCTCTCACCCCCGGCTGAACCTCCAGCCCAGCTTCCCCAGCTCATGCCCCTGGGAATCCGGTTCTCCAGGATTCCTGCGTGGGCTGGGAAAACTCCCTGGAGGAGGCCAGCCCATTAAGCAGAGCCCAGAAAGCAGGTCACAGCTGTTCCCATCCAGCCGAGGCACCAAAGCGAGGACACAACATGCCAACAAGGCTCTGCTCTGCCTGGAGGGCTCACAGGGGGAGGAGGTGAGAGGCAGTGCAGCCCCGCCTCACGGCTCTGGTCCAGACTCCTGGTCTGAACATGCTGGGCGGGGCTCACCCATCAGAGTCTGCAAGGAGTAGGAGGCAGCGTTGAGGAGGGGAGGGTGCAGCTCAGTGGTAGAATGCCTGCTTAGCATGCACAGGGACCTGGGTTCAATCCCTGGTCTCTCCATTAAAATAAATAATAAATAAACCTAATTACCTCTCCCCCCAAAAAAGGAGGCAGTGTTGAGGAGCACTCCGAAGTATGGCCCAACCCCAAGGCAAGTGGATGGGGATCTCAGGGTAACTACAGAGGCATCAAACTAACCAGTCTACTGAATAATGCCAGTGAGACTGTCCCCCAAAAGAATGACATCTTTGCTGGGATCAACACCCTGACTTTTACGTAGTATCTCCAATTCACTCAATTATAACAATTCTTTGGTTGTTTTCTGGTAGTCCTTTTCTCAGACATCTGAAAGATTCTCTCTCTTCTCCATGACAGGGTCCCCCTGTCTGTTAAAGATAAGTGGGGCGAGGCCCACAAAGGGTCAGCAACTTCGCCTGCGTCTCACAGTGAAGCTGTGGCAGAGCTGGGAGGGGCCCATAGACCCACTGGGCTGATACTCAGAAACAGTCTTGGCCCCAGCCCTGTGCCCCGCCCCATGAGGACAAACCTGGCCCTCAATCGCTAGAGCCTGGGACGGGAAGGACACAGGGAACTGGTCCCCAGAATGATCCTACACACAGATTAGAGAAGGTGGAGCCAGCAGCCGCCATGGGGTGACGCTGTCGGTGGGAAGCGTGGGGGTGACGGCCTGTAAGCCTGCCTTGAGGAGCCAGTGGGCAAGGCCAGGCTGTGTGGGCAGTGGGCTATTCGCAGCTGACAGCCACCTGCTTGGCTCGGAGGAGGGTAAAAGGAAGCCAAGGGGAAAAAGGCTGAGCCAGTCGTCCATGGGGACCTCGGAGGAGTGGAAGTCCAGCCCCCACACAGTGCCCAGGGCAAGCTCCTTCCCTCCTTCCTGGAGGCGAGGCTCTGCACTACTGTCCGCAAGCCCCGCCCACTGTCCCTCTGCCACCACAGTCCCTAAATCAGCCATCTTGATATGTTGTCTGATAACAGAGACCATCTTCAATTAGTGCTAACACCTTAAATCAAGAAAATCCCTGGGGTCGGGGGGAGGGTATAGCTCAAGTGGTAGAGAGCGTGCTTAGCATGCATGAGGTCCTGGGTTTAATCCTCAGTATCTCCACTGAAAATAAATAAGCAAAACAAATTACCCTCCCCCAAAATACATAAATAAAAATTTGTTTAAAAAGGAAGAAAGAAGATCCCTAGGGAGGGTAGAGTGCAGCTCAGTGGCAGAGTGTGTGCTGAGCATGCACAGGGTTCGGCCGGACTCACTCCCTCATCAGCTCCCTGAGGGCAGGAGAGAAAGCCAGCCTAGACACCACGAGGTTCTAGACACCATGAGGTAACAGTCTTACCGTCACTGGCAAAGGAAGCTGAGAAAAGCAGACAGGAAGTTGAAGAAAAAGGAAAAACAGGACCTCTAGGCTCCAAGGGCAGCTCCGGGCCTTCCCAAGCAGGCCCTTCCCTGCCCACGTCCCAGTGCGCCGGGGACAGGCTCGGCCAGCCAAGGGGGCACGAGGCAGTGAGAATGCCAGGAAGGAGACTTGGGCAGAAGAGCCCAGGAGGGCCTGTGCCCAAAGGCCACCTGGCTTCTGGCAGGCCTCAGGGGCAGCTGGTTATTTCCTAAGTCAGGGCAGAATGGAGAAGCCCTGGGGTCCCCATAGACCAGGGTGGGAAAGGAAAGGGGTGTCAGGTCTCAGGCAGCCCCCATCTTTCAGCCCAGGGAGGAAAAAAAAAAAAAGTACAAAAACAAACTCACCAACAGACATCTGATACTAATTTACCCAGGGGTGTCAGAGGCCAAAGTGTTAGTCTCTCCAAGGGACACGTGCACTTAAAAAGTAGAGTTTGAGGAGAAGGGTGCCCAAGCTAAGGGAATCTGGAAGACATAAGGGAAATTTCTAGTAGCCCTAGGAAAAATGATCCATTAAAAGGTAGGGGAAGAGGATCTCCGGAGTAAGCCTTGCCTCCCCATGGCCTCCCCAGGTCCTAGCTCCTGAGCCCCAGGGCTCTCTTGCCCCTCTCCAGGAAACAAGACTCCCCACCCAGGTGCTCACTTCAGCAGCACATACACTAAAATTAGAACAGTACAGAGAAAACTAGCATGGTCGCTGAGCAAGGATGACATGCAAATTCATGAAGCGTTGTATATTAAAAAAAAAAGACAACCCCCCAAGTGCTGCCTACGAGGCAGCCTGTCCCTTTAAGACACTGACCCCTCCAACCCCTGGCCTTGGCTGCCGTTACCCTGGCCTTCCGCAGGGGTCACGCAGCTCCACTCCACTCTCCCTGGTAGCAGACCGGAAGGATATCCTGCTGTGGGTCAGCCAAGGACACAACCCGGGGAGACACCAGGGATTCTGTCTTACCCAGGTCAAAGGAGAAAGCCCACTCGGGACGCAGGGCCCTAAGAGGGAACTGAGAAGTGAGATCCTCCTGGAGATGGCCTCTCAGTGTCCAGGGAAGCGGATACCTAGATGGGGGGACTGGGACGGGGGCACTGGTCCTGCAGTGCCAGATCCAGGGGATCCCGACCAGGACTCCCCTATCAGCCTGGTCACCCCCAGAGCTCTCAGAGTGGAAGGCTCCAGTGCCCTGGCATAGACGCCCCATGTCCTATTGCCCGTCCCTCCCGACTCTCAGGGCTTCAAAAGCCACGGGTGCGGCTGGAGGCGCTTTTCTCTTGCTCCTGCTTTCTCTCCGCCCTCTTTCCACCCCAACTCAAGATGGTCAGAAGCCTTCCCTGGTCAGCCCTTTCCAAGTCTTCTTACTTCTTTTACTCTCAATGTCTCCTTTACACTCTGATGCTGTGTGTGGGACACGACTGATTAAAATGGTGGCCCTGGTGTCGGGGCAAGAACACATTCGCCTTAGATGGTGTTAAAACAACTGTTCCGCATCTCTGCACATGGCGGGGTCAAGGAGATTTATTTTCTAAGCAGGAAGTAACCTAGGGGGTTGGGCAGTCGACAAGGACTCATGTCAGTTTCAGTGTTGCTCTGTACCTGCCCTAATGCCTTTCCCCCAGCTCCTATGTCCCACTTTGCATAAGAAGGTCTCCCTAAGACAGAGTCCTAGTCTACAGCCAGCACGGGGATGCTCAGCAGAGGGGTGGACCAGCTGCCCACTTGGCGCAGTGCAGCACATTCACATCCCAACAGCCCTGCCTTCATGGGGCCCTTGCTCACATGACCCTCACTCAGGGTCTACCAGGTAGCAATAGTCAGAGGCCAGTCTCAGCCATTCTCAGGGGCTAGCTAACATGCTTGCAGCTGGACGAGTGCAGCCAGAATGTGCCCGTACGTGCAGGTATATTAGAGCTAAAATATCCTATATATGTAACAGCACAGTCCATGGCTACCTTGCTGAAATACCAGTGCAGTGTACGTAAACACCATTACAAAGTCTGTCGAATGAGTTTCTCCAGGGATATGTCCACTGTCAGGACTGGAGTGAGGGTATCATGCTTTGCTCTGGTGTGTGATGGAGAGGGAGGCCAAGTGAAAAGGAGCAGAAATAGAAGGAAGGAAACAGATCCCCCCCCCATCTTGTCTCTGATATTTAGTGCCAGGTATTGTCTTGTTTAATCCCCACAACAATCCTTAAATGTGCATATTATTATCCTTATTTTATGAAAACAGGAAAGGGATTGAGTAATTTGCCCAAGGCCACACAGTAGTAAAAAATAAAGACTCAAAGAGTTGTAAACCAGCTCTACTTCAATAAGCAAATAATAAAATAAACAAAATTTAAAATTAAAATAAATTAAGTAAGTAAGTAACTAAGCAAGAGTTAAACTGAATCTTGTTTGAGGTCTCTTTCCCATCCTGCCATGGAGATCCAGGCACACCCCGTTTTACCAAATGTCCAGCTGATATTGGTGACTATCCTGGCGCACGCCTAAGCTCTCCCCACGTAGCCCAGCACTCTTCATCACTGTCTCAAGGCACTCAAAAACCACGCAAATAAATAAACAAGCAAACAAACAACAACAAAACCAGACCCATAGTTTTGCAGATAGGAGAACCAAAGACCAGGTACCACCTCACACCAGTCAGAATGGCCATCATTCAAAAGTCCACAAATGATAAACGCTGGAGAGGCTGTGGAGAAAAGGGAACCCTCCCACACTGCTGGTGGGAATGTTGTTTGGTGCAGTCATTATGGAAAACAGTATGGAGATTCCTCAAGAAACTAAAAATAATAGACTTACCCTATGATCCAGCAATCCCACTCCTAGGCATATATCCAGAGGGAACTCTAATTTGAAAAGACACCTGCACCCCAATGTTCACAGCAGCACTATATACAATAGCCAAGACATGGAAGCAACCTAAATGTCCATCGACAGAGGACTGGATAAAGACGTTGTGATATATTTATATAATGGAATACTATTTGGCCATAAAAAGAGAATAAAACAATGCCATTTGCAGCAACATGGATGGATCTGGAGATCATCATTCTAAGTGAAGTAAGCCAGAAAGAGAAAGAAAAATATCATATGATACCACTCATAAGTGGAATGTAAAAACAGAAAAAGACACTAATGAACTTATCTACAAAACAGAAACCGACTCCCAGACACAGTAAACAAACCTAAAGTTACCAGGGGGAAAGGGAGCAGGAAGGGATAAACTGGGAGCCCAAGATCTGCAGATATAACAAGTTTCTACTGTACAGCACAGGGAACTATATTCAGTATCTTATAGTAACCTATAATGAAAAACAATGCGAAAATGAATATATACACCAGAAATTGGCACATTGTAAATGACTGTACTTTGATTTAAGAGAGAGAGAGGGAGGGGGAGACAGAACCAAAGATCACAGGGGAGAAATGACTCATCTGAAGTCACACAGGTAGCTGTGGCGGAAGTGGGACTGGAAGCAGGTCTCAGACTCCCGCTCAAATGCTCTTTCCAGCCTGAAACACAACCATCTATCTTGTCCATTCTCAAAATCCTCCAGAGAAGGAGTTCCCCCAGACTTTCTGTTCTAACCTCTCCCAAATTGGTCCATTCCTTTCCAAGCTTCTGACTACTTTGATCAAGTGAAATAACCTAGAGAAAGCACACGTTATGCACCAAAAATCGTAATTCCTTTCTCTTACCCTCCCATTAAAGCCTCACCCTAGCTAGCCTCTCCGTCTCCTATGCAGACCCGTTGCAGTGCTGGTACCCCAGTGCCAGGGAACCCCTCAGGGCAGCTCAGATCATGCCATTCTTCCAACGAAAAGCTTTGTCTCTCCCCTTTCTTGTCAGATATTCAAGACCCCCAATATTGAATTCCAGCCCAGTCCCTTGCAGGCCCCCCATTCTCCAGGGCTCCTCGTTTTCCCACCAAACTTCACTCATGCTAGTACCTTCTGGAATACTCCCTGGCTCGCCCTCTACAAATGCCTGCTCTTGAGCCTTCTTTCATCTCCTGTGACTGAAAGTGCCTTTGCTCTCTTTGGAACATCTCTCAAATTTTTAATGCATCCTACCACAGTTATACTGTTTCGTATTACTCCATTAGTGATTAGAATAAAAATAACCTATCCACGTAGGTGCTTTATAGTTACAAAGCCCTTTCATAGACATAAGCCCATTTATCTTAATAAAAATTACCTATTTATTTTTGTTTTCCCCATGATGCCCAGTACAGTGTTTTACACATGGGACAGAGCTGTTAAATACTGCAACCTGAGGGTGGTCTGACCAACCCAGAGAAGAGCTAACACTTCCCTGTGGTCGGATCAGAGATCCTGAAGCTGGATGAGGAAGGCAGAACTGGGGTTTGTTCTTCCAGGTTGATACCTCATAGCGTTTATTAGAGTCTGAGCATTTAGGGGCCCCCGAAACATTCAGCACTCTGATCCAAGCCTCTATACTCCTGTGAAATGCTGCTCAAGACTACACCACCTCGTGGGGCAGCCATCACAACTGACTCATACTGAGCTAACAGAATTATCGCACTACATGAACCCATGCATTCACGTGCATTTTGTGGAGTACACCGTGGCCACTCAAGGTCAGGGATATACTGAATTCAAGTTAGCCTCCCGAGGGTTTAGCACAAACCTGCCGTCGAAGGACGATAAAAGAAACGAGACCATCACAATTCACTGAGCCCTTGCCACGGATCAGACACTGTCCTAGGCAGTTCGTTTCGCCTGTCCTCTTCACTGCTGTGCACCAAGGAGGGCGCCGGGGACATCACAGACATTGAATGCGCAGCAGGTGAATGAACAGATGAATAAAAGATATAATGCAAACTCCTTCAACGGCTCTGGACAAATTCAGAGCCTTTCACTTGGCCTCTTTCACCACTTTCTTCATCCGCCGTCCCAACCCAATCCCTACTCATCGGCCAGATCTTGTGGGGAGGGTATAGTTCAAGTGGTAGAGTGCATGCTTAACATGTACAAGGTCCTGGGTTCAAGTCCCAGTGTCTCCTCTAAAAATAAATAAATAAACCTAATTACACCCCCCCAAAAATAAACATCTCAGCAAACATTTCCTTTCTACCAGGAAGTCTGACCTCTGCTTTTGTGTTCTCAAAGCATCCCACACTACTTCCACTACAGCCCACTCACTTGCCACTAGTAAACACTCACAAAAACATTTCCTGAATGAATGAGTGAGGTCTTTTTTAAACATGATCTGACAGCTGTACATCTCTCTGTGATCATATCTCCTTCCACAGACGACCATGGAAGAATGCTTTCTGCCGTCACCTGGCCCTTGGGGAAGTCCCATCTCATTCAGAACTTGAGCCTCATTGACATTTTTCCAACACACGTCCCTTCAGTGCAGCACAGAAAGACCACCAGTTCTGGAGGTAGCCTGACCCAGATTCAAACTTTGGTTCTTCCCTAATTAGTTGTACAATCTTAGGCATGTTTCTTAGTCTCAGTTTGAATGTAAACCTAAGCTAAATAAAGCTCCGTTCTCCCATCTGCAAAGGGGAATGAGACAATTTTATCATCATCTATTTCCTCCAAGGATGGGAGGAGGGAAAATTCAGATAAGGTTTGAAAAGCTGGGGGCAGGCGACGCTCAGTGCCGGTGGCTTTTCTTCTTCAAGGATGCTCTTGCCTTTCTTGGTACTTGAACTTTTTCTCAAGTGGCTCCTTTTTGCCTTCCTTGCTGGGATCACCTGCAACATCTTG